GTGGATCGGGCAAGGAGCAGAAGGGCTGGGCCTGACTGAGGCTTTCCCAACAACCCTCTTGCAAGAACCACCTTCCAAGGGCAGCGACCAGGAGCCAAGGACCTCTCACCAGGGCCTACCGCTCACCACCTTGTTTCTTTTTCTGAGAGGGGGAGGGATCCCCCAAGTACCTGTAAAGGCCTGGGCTACAGGGAGGAGCTGGGAACCCAACACAGGTCTCCCAGGTGGGGGCCAGAAACTCAACTGCTCCCCCAGAATCACTAAGTGATAACCAGGTTTCAACACCCCCAAGAGCTCGGGAGCCCAGTCTTGTTAACACCACGGTAGCCCTTCTAGGAGCCACACAATCCACCTCCCCATTAAAATGAAGCACTTGGGGCCAGGGCTACAGCTTGGTGGGCAGTGACATCACATCCCATACTGGAGCGCTGACTGGACTCCTGCCCCACTTCTTTTTTTTTCCTTTTTTAAAAGACTTATTTGTTTATTTGAAAGGCAGAGTTACAGAGAGGCAGAGAGAGAGAGAGAGAGAGAGAAAGGTCTTCCTGGTTTATTCCCTAGATGGGTGTAACGGCTGGAGCTGTGCCGATCCAAAGACAGGCCAGGAGCTTCTTCCGGGTCTCCCACGTGGGTCCAGGGGCCCAAGGACTTGAGCCATCTTCTACTGCTTTCCCAGGCCACAGCAGAGAGCTGGATCGGAAGTGGAGCAGCTGGGACTTGAACCGGTGCCCAAATGAGATGCTTGCACTGTAAGAAGTAGCTTCACCTGCTACACCACAGCACCAGCCCCGCTCCCTTTTTTTCCCTTAAAGGTTTTATTTATTTATTTGAAAGGTAGATTTACAGATAGAGAGAGAGAGGGAGGGGAGAGAAAGAGAGATCTTCCATCTGCTGGTTCACTCCCCAAATGGCCGCAATGGCCAGAACTGGGCTGATCCAAAGCCAGGAGCCAGGAACCAGAGCTTCTTCTGGGTCTCCCACATGGGTGCAGGGGCCCAAGGACTTGGGCCATCTTCTACTGCCTTCCCAGGCCATAGCAGAGAGTTGGATTGGAAGAGCAGCAGAATACGAAACAGCATGCATATGAGATGCCAGGGCCACAGGCGGAGGCTTAGCCACTACGCCACACTGCCAGCCCCCCATCCCACTTCTGATCCAGCTCCTTACTAATGCTCCTGAGGAAGCAATGCAAGATGGCCCAAGTGCCTGGATCCTTGCCACCCACGTGGGACACAGATGGAGTTCATGGCTTCCTGGCTTCAGCCTGGCCCAGCCCTGACCACTGCAGCCATCTGAGAACCAGAAGATGGAAGATCTCTTTCTCTCTGTCCCTCTGCCCTTCAAATAAATCTTAAAAAAAAAAAAAAAAAAAAAAAAAAAACTTAGAAAATGCCTGTCTGAAGGCTACCCTGATGGCAATCACCCACCCACGTGTTCATAGTTTCTCAGCCAAACATGAATCTACCCAAACTTCTAGGAAAAAGGGTCTGGGCAGTTGACCAGGACCACGGACTTCTGAAGCCTCACTTTTTACATTCTGGGGGACGGCACTGTGGAGCAGCGGGTTGAGCTCACGCCTGCAGTGCCGGCATCCCTGTGGGCAGGGGCTCAAGTCCTGGCTGCTCCACGTCCAATCCAGCTCCCTGCTGATGAGCCTGGGAAAACAGAGGAAGATGGCCCGAGTTAGGGTCAAGTCCTGACATTTCAAACTTGACTCTAAGCTGGGACGGACAAAGACTGGGAGCAGGACGGAGGATCGCCCATCACCTGCTGGCTCTGCAGAGGTGGGTTTTCACAGTTTCACTGGTCTTTATACTAAAACTTTAAATTTCAAAAATTCCTGTTGAGCTTCCCCAAAAAGGGATAGAGAATGAAAACTTCATATTCTATCCTTATACAGTAAGAAAATAAAACACTAAAAGCTTTTCAATGCATTTCAAGTTCCTGTGTGTGTTTCAGAAAGACTTACTTATTTGAAAGGCAGAGTTACAGAGAAAGGGACAAACAGAGAAAGACCGTTACCTTCCATCCACTGGTTCACTCCCCAGATAGCTGGGACTGGGCCCTGCTAAAGCCTGGAGCTTCCTCGGGGTCTCCCATATGGGTGTGGGGGCCCAGGCACTTGGATCAGAAGTGGAGCAGCCACGAATGGAACCTGTGCCCTTATGAGAGGCAGACACTGCAAGTGGGAGCTTAACACACCAGGAAGCTGGTGGTTTTTTTTTTTTTTTTTTTTTTTTTTGACAGGCAGAGTGGACATTGAGAGAGACAGAGAGAAAGGTCTTCCTTTTGCCGTTGGTTCACCCTCCAATGGCCGCCGTGGCCGGCGCATCACGCTGATCCGAAGCCAGGTGCTTCTCCTGGTCTCCCATGCAGGTGCAGGGCCCAAGCACTTGGGCCATTCTCCACTGCACTCCTGGGCCACAGCAGAGAGCTGGCCTGGAAGAGGGGCAACCGGGACAGAACCCGGTGTGCCGGCACCGCAAGGCAGAGGATTAGCCTATTGAGCCATGGCGCCGGCCCAAGCTGGTGTTCTAACAAAAGAAGACCACTACCTGCAGTGCCAGCATCCCATATGGGCACCGGTTCAAATCCCAGCTGCTCCACTTCTGCTCCAGCTCCCTGCTAATGTGCTTAAGAAAGCAGCAGAAGATGGCCCAAGGGCTTGGGCCCCTGCACCCACTGGGGATTCCCAGAAAAAGTCTGGCTCCTGATCAGCCCAGCTCCAGCCATTATGGCTATTTGGGGAGTAAACCAGGGGACGGAAGATTTCTTTGTTTCTCTCCCTCTTTCTCTGTAACTCTGCCTTTCAAATAAATAAAATATTAAAAAAAAAAGTATCTGGTTGGCTCGGTGGCACAGTAGGTTAATCCTCTGCCTGCGGCGCCAGCGGCACTGGCACCCTGGGTTCTAGTCCCGGTTGGGGCGTCAGATTCTGTCCCGGTTGCTCCTCTTCCAGTCCAGCTCTCTGCTGTGGCCCAGGAAGGCAGTGGAGAATGGCCCAAGTCCTTGGGCCCTGCACCCGTGTGGGAGACCAGAAAGAAGCACCTGGCTCCTGGCTTCAGATCAGCGCAGCGCGGGCCGCAGCGTGCTGGCCACAGTGGCCATTGAGGGGTGAACCATTGGAAAAAGGAAGACCTTTCTCTGTCTCTGTCTGTCTACTCTGCCTGTAAAAAAAAAAAGAAGTATCAAAAATCCCAATTTTTGGATAAAAATTTGAAAAAAAAAAAAAAAAAAAAAAAAAAAAAAAAAAAAAAAAAAAAAAAACAAAGATAAAAATTCAGAAGTGAGCCCAGTTACGATGTCCTAATGAACAGGTTCGATACCACACAGTGTGTGTGCACTAATAACGAGACTCAGTCCTTAACTAACAGGTTAGAAAGAAATCCAGCAAGGTCCCTGAGCCCCTCCAGGAGCCACGGCCACCTGTTCCCAGCCGAGAGCACCGTGCTGGCAGCAGGAGCTGACACGAGGGAGACAGGGCACGCAGACCACACGACAGGTGTGCCCATCCGCCACTGCAGTGGTTCCCTGCTGAATGTGCGCACCTCTGTGCTGCTGCTGACACAGCCCCGGCTCCCCAGCACTCCTCTGCCCTTGCTCTCTTGGAGCCCAGAGGGACAGGCAGAAGGGCAGGTAACTAAGGCATCCCGCTCTGCCCGACCCCGAGGGGTTCCTGAGAGTGTGGCCCAAGGCCACGTCTCAGCAGAACCTGGGCAGCGCCTCTAAGAGCCCACAGCACCAGAACCTGGGCAGCACTGGGAAGGGGCCCTGAACCCCTGCGCCGACGGAGGGCAGGCGAGAAAGGGCTGCTTTGCTGCCGCTCTTCACTTAAGTTATTTATGAAACATCAACATTAAATATTTTACTAACACTTAACAGTGCTGCCAAATAAGTTCCCTAAAACCGTCCTATTTACACAGAACACAAGAGTACACAGTACTGCCCTACAGGCGCACTGCTACGTCAGCAGACGAGCCCAGACCACCTGGGTACTGATTCTAACACCGAGGGCGGGTTAAGCAGCTGTGGGTGACACCAGCATCCCACATGGACCCTGGTTCAAGTCTCCCCGGCTGCTCCACTCGCGATCCAGCTCCCTGCTGATGTGCCTGGGCGGGCAGCAAGCACCACCCAGCCCCTGACCTGCCCAGGCCCTGACTCTAACTCTGCCCTTCACATAAATACTGAAGAACAAACCAAACCCCAGCAAGTGAACAAAGTATCAGGCCCGCGCTCCCTCAGCTGCTCACGGTCAGCCCAGGAAGGTCCCAGCGAGGGCGGCAGCAACCTCAACAACCTGACCCTGAGAAGGTCCCTGGGCACAGGAGGAGGGGCCGGACACAGGGAGGGGGACCCAGACACAGAGAGGCGGGTGGGGCCAGATGCGGGGTTGGAGGGGCGGCCCTGGACACAGACATGGGGCGTGAGGCCTGGACACAGACATGAGGCAGGGGTGGGGGGCCTGGACACAGACACGGGGTGGTGGGGCCTGGACACAGACACGGGGTGGGGGGGCCAGGACACAGACACAGGGTGAGGGGGGGCATGGACACAGACACGGGGTGGGGGGGCTGGACACAGACACGGGGTGGGGGGCATGGACACAGACACGGGGTGGGGGGCCTGGACACAGACACGGGGAAGGGGGCATGGACACAGACACGGGGAGGGGGGCATGGACACAGACATGAGGCAGGGGTGGGGGGCCAGGACACAGACACAGGGTGGGGGGGCCTGGACACAGACATGAGGCAGGGGTGGGGGGCCTGGACACAGACACGGGGTGGGGGGCCAGGACACAGACACAGGGTGGGGGGGCCTGGACACAGACACAGGGTGGGGGGGCCTGGACACAGACATGAGGCAGGGGTGGGGGGCCTGGACACAGACATGAGGCAGGGGTGGGGGGCATGGACACAGCCCCGGAGACGGAAGCGCACGCTCGGGGCAGGGGCCGCGCAGCCGGCCTGAGTCCTCCCCCGGGAGCCGCCGCCTACCTTCTCCGCGATGCTGTACAGCACCTCGTCCATCTTCATACACGTGGGGTCCCAGTCGTGTCCGAAGCGAATGACGACCACGCGGTCCTCCTCCGACAGGATGGCCTGGTCCACCTGCCAGCCGTTGTGCAGGTGCGGGAGCATGTACGACATGGCGGGCACGGGGACGACGCCTGCGGGGCGGCGTCTCGCTCAGCGCCTGGAGGCCCGGCGAGCCCCCCGCCCGGCCCAGGCCGCCCCCGAGCGCCCGGAGAGCCCTTCGCCCGGCCCAGGCCGCCCCCGAGCGCCCGGAGAGCCCTTCGCCCGGCCCAGGCCGCCCCCGAGCGCCCGGCGAGCCCCCCGCCCGGCCCAGGCCGCCCCCGAGCGCCCGGAGAGCCCTTCGCCCGGCCCAGGCCGCCCCCGAGCGCCCGGCGAGCCCCCCGCCCAGGCCAGGCCGCCCCCGAGCACCCGGAGAGCCCTTCGCCCGGCCCAGGCCGCCCCCGAGCGCCCGGCGAGCCCCCCGCCCGGCCCAGGCCGCCCCCGAGCGCCCGGAGAGCCCCCCGCCCGGCCCAGGCCGCCCCCGAGCGCCCGGCGAGCCCCCGCCCGACCCAGGCCGCCCTCGAGCGCCCGGCGAGCCCCCCGCCCAGGCCAGGCCGCCCCCGAGCGCCCGGCGAGCCCCCCGCCCGGCCCAGGCCGCCCCCGAGCGCCCGGCGAGCCCCCCGCCCGGCCCAGACCGCCCTCGAGTGCCTGGCGAGACCCCCGCCCCGCCCGCCCGCAGCCCGCCGAGCCCACGGAGTCCCCACGCACCTTCCGGCAACACCACAGTCTCCCGAACCACAGCACCTACAGCGCGGGCGCGCGACGCCTACGTGCGCGCTCTCGACGCAGTGCGTGCGGCGTGCGTCAGGACGCGGCGCGCGGCGGCGGCCAATGGGCGGCGGCCCTGGGGGCGCGGCCGTCCCGGGCCCCGCGTGCTCCCCCGGTCGCGTGCTCGTCCGGCTCGGCTCGGACGCGACCGGACGGGCTGGCCCCTGGTGTCCGCCTCCCTGGCCCAGCAGCGCGCGCCGGCCGGTCGCCGTCCTCGGCGCTCGCTCCCGCCACGGACAGCCTGGTCGCCTCCCGCGGGAGCGCGTGGCGTCACCGTGACGTCGCTCCAGGTGACGTGTGAAGAGCGACCGGGGCTCCCTCAGTCGGTCTTCCGGTCTGTGATGGCGCGGGGCGGGGCTGGCGGCCGCGCGGCAGCGGCCCACGCGTGAGCGCCGTGGCCGGCCCTGGCGTGACGTCGCGGAGCCCCGGCGCTGCGGCCGCGCCCTGAGGGGAGAAGTTGCTAATGCAGAACGTTCCGCGAGGGCCGGCGCCCGTCGGGGCTCAGCTCTGGGAGAGCTCGGGCGGGCGGGCGGGCGGGCGGCGTCGGGAGCAGAAACAATTCTGCGTTCTGAGACAAGGCTAGCCCCAAGGGGTAGAGGACGAAGTCGGAATTCTCGGGTGCGAGCGGGGCGGGGGCAGCGCCTGTGCCCCACGGAGCCCCTCCCTACGTCCCAGTCTGTCCTTTGTAAGTTTATTCGTTTGAGAGAGTTGCAGACCGAGAGGCAGGGGAGAGAGCCTCCACCCGCGGTTCACTCCCAGACGGGCCCCTCTGGAGCCAGGAGCTTCCTCCAGGTCTCCCACGCGGGTGCAGGGCCCGCGCACTCGGCCGTCTTCCGCCGCTTTCCCAGGCCATAGCAGGGGGCTGGATCCGGAGTGCAGCAGCCGGGACTCGAACTGGTGCCATTTGGGATGGCAGCCCGCCACACCACAGCACTGGCCCGAGAGTGAGTGATTTATCAGAGACAGATCTTCCAACCTCTGGTTCATTCCTTCTCCGGCCTCGCAGCCAGGGCTGCTCGGGCTGGAGCCGGGAGCCAGGAGCACTGGGGCCACCTGCTGCTGCCTCCCGGGGCACACTAGCAGGAAGTCTGGATTGGAAGTGCAGCACCTGGGACTCGAACCAGCACTCCATGGGGGTTGCTGGTATCGGAAGTCCTCACCCCTGACTACTCTTCTTGCTCCTAAGAAAGAAGCCAAGCTGGCTTTCCAAAATTCGTAGCTCTCAGGCTCTGTCCGCGGCACTTTGGGGATATAGAAGAGGAAGTAAACACGTTTGGGGGCACGAGGGATGCGTATTCCCGATCTCATTGTCCTCCCTTCCGGGAGGAGAGGGTACTGCTGTGCCAGCCACCCCGGCCCCGCAGGGAGGTTTCAGAAGCCGGCTGGCTCTGGGTCGGGTGTGGTTGGACGGGCAAGACCTTGTGTTGCTTAGCTGCGGAAACCCTGCGTCCAGGCCTGTGGAAAGGGCCTCAGAATTGTCCCGAGTGTTCTTCGAAAGGGGCCAGTGTCCACCTGCTGATCTGCTGAGGCGGCCGAGGCTGGATCGGGGTTCACTGGTGCTGTGTGGCTGTGGGCACAGCTGCGCCTCCACACGTCGCAGGGTGGAACGTAGCAGAGAGCTGTTGGCAGAAGACTAGGGTCGCATTAATGTGGAAAGCAGAAGCCACTCGTGGTTGTTGAGGAAGTCGTGTGTGCAGAGGGAGGGGACTGCAGCGTCGGGACAGCGCTCACCCGGAGCGGGAGCGGGAGCGGGAGGAGCTGCCCTAGGGGCTGTGCTGAGGCTGTTTTTCCAGCTTGGTGGTGCATTGGCAGGGGCTCGTTTTATTCCTGTTCTTTACATCTGAGATGTGCCACAAGTATTCTTGCATGCGTATATAATTTTTTAAGAGTTCTTTGAAATTTATTTGAAAGGCAGTTAGGAGGAGGAGAAGGAGGAGGAGAGGGAGAGAGATACCTTCCATCCACTGGTTCCCTCCCCAGATGCTTACAATGGCCAGGGCTGGACCAGTCTGCATCCAGGAGCCCAGAGCTGCTTCCAGGTCTCCCACCTGGGTGCAGGGGCCCGAAGACTTGGGCCAGCCTCCACTGCGTTCCCAGGTGCATCAGCAGGGAGCTGGAGGAAGTGGAGCAGCTGGGTCTGGGACCCCTGCCCATATGGGATGCCGATGCCGGCTCTTTGTGCGTGTCTAATTAAACGGGCTGTTCTGTTGAGGTGGATTCCTTCTGAGAGGAGGAGCGTGGTGGGGCAAGAGGTTTGGAGTCACCACACAGACCCTGGGAGTGGGAGTCACTGGGAGTCAGGACTCGGTGAAAGCAGGCCAGAGGCCAGCAGCCCGCAGACTCATTTATTTCAGTTGGTGCAGCAGCTTAAATAGCCAAGGCAGCCAATCCGGTCAAGGGGCGGTCTATGCCCTAACCAGTCACAGCCTGTTGCCAGGCAGGCTCCGTTGCCAGGTGGATTTCAAAGCCATTCCTGAGTAACTGACACTTGCTTGCCAGTGGCCATCTTGGCACGGCCTTCTTGCTTTTTCAATATCGACTTCCACCTGAACAGGAAGTAACTGGCGATCTGTGTTTCTTCCTGCTGGGTTGGATTCAGTAGACCCCTCTGGGTAGGTGGCTGGACTGGAATAAAACTTGCAGGAGTCTTGTGACGACTGGTGTTACCCACTTTTTGCAAGGCAGCGCTGGCTCAAGAGCTTTTTATGGTCTTGAAGTGAAAGTAACACCCACGCTCTCTTGGTCGAGACTTTGCAGCGCTGTTTTGGGAAAGCCTCACTCTGCTTTCACTGTGTGTTGAGCATGAGCACGAGCGGGATGGGGTGTCAGATGCTGGGAGCAGAGTCACGAGCAGGATCGTGCACCTACCCTCGGGGGGCGTTCCGCAGAGGAGGCTGAGACGGCACAGACGGATCACACCGTGGTGGGGGGTGCCGGAGCCCTGCGGGGGTTCGGGGAGGTACGAGAGCACTTAGCGCAGGCGCGGGGAACATGCTTGGTGTGTGAGATTCAGGAGAGGCCTCTTGGGGACCTGCCGTTCATGTTGGGACCAGCAGGATGAGTGACAAACAACATGGCTCCTTTTTTAAAAAGCTTTAGGGGCTGCCGGCACTGTGGCATAGTAGGTTAAGCAGTGCCGGCATCCCATATGGGTGCTGGTTCAAATCCCAGCTGCTCTTCCTCCAATCCAGCTCTCTGCTATGACCTGGGAAAGCAGCAGCAGATGGCCCAGGTGCTTGGGCCCCTGCACCCACGTGGGAGACCTGGAGGAAGCTCCTGGCTCCTAGCTCGGGTCAGCCCAATCCCAGCTGCTGCAGCCATTCTGGGAGTGAACCAGTGGATGGAAGACCTCTCTCTCTCCCTCTCTCTCTCTTTCTTTGTCTCTCCCTCTTTCTGTAACTCTACCTCTCAGATAAATAAATGTTTAAAATATTTTAAAAAGTTTTATTTATTCACTTGACAGGCAGTGACAGAAATGAAGCGACAGAGTGATCTCCCATCACTCCCCAGATGACTGCGACAGCCAGGGCTGGGCCAGGCTGGAGCCAGGAGCTCCTTCCGGGTCTCCCATGTGGATGGCAGGGCCAGGTACTTGGCCCGTCTTCTGCTGCTTTCCCAGGGAGGGGACGCTGGTGTCCCAGGCAGTGGCTTACCTGCGCCACAATACTGGCCCCTAGATATGTTGTTTGTTTTAGCTGGGAGTTCATCAGACTGGAGTGACTAGCATTTTAGTTCCTGCCAGCACAGTGGAAGCCCTGTGCAAACAGTGAAACAAAACGGGCTGCTTCCCCAGTCGGAAACTGCAAGCTGCCTCTCAGGTGTGTTTTCTTTGTCCCGTTTCTAGAATTGCCACAGGATTCCCCTCTCAGGCTCTCCCAGGGCAGGCCTGAGCCTTGCGGGCTATGCTGTCCCATTTACAAATTGCTGGTTGCTCAAATAAATGTTTTAAAAATTTAATGTGCCCAAGTTTTTCCTTTATGCTATTATGTCAGAAAGTTCATGGAAAAAGGAATTCAAAGTAATTTGTGGGGCTGGCGCCGTGGCACAGCGGGTTGACACCCTGGCCTGCAGTGCCAGCATCCCATATGGGCGCTGGTTCTAGTCCCAGCTGCTCCACTTCCGATCCCGCTCTCTGCTGTGGCCTGGGACAGCAGTGGAGGATGGCCGAGTCCTTGGGCCCCTGTACCCGCGTGGGAGACCCGGAAGAAGCTCCTGGCTCCTGGCTTCGGATTGGGGCAGCTCCGGCTGTTGTGTCCGTCTGGGGAGTGAACCAGCGGATAGAAGACCTCTGTCTCTGTCTCTGCCTCTCTCTGTAACTCTGTCTTTCAAATAAATAAAATAAATCTTTAAAAAAAAAAGTAAATTTGTTTTGGTTTAAAGACAATTTAAATTCCAGGTGCAGTTTTTTGAAATACGTGTACTGTGAACTTTGAAGATCCCCTCATATGCAAAGATCTCAAAGATTTTTTGTACCAAAATAAACTTATTTGATTCCATTTCCACAGACTCTGTGAAAGACCCATGCAGCAGGGTATTCTCAGGTGCATGGCTACCTCCATGGTCAATTTTACGTTTTTATTTTTTAAGATTTATTTGGGGCTGGCGCTGTGGCATAGCAGGTAAAGCCACAGCCTGCAACAGTGGCATCTCATATCTTGGCTGCTCCACTTCTGATCTGGCTTCCTGCTAATGCACCTGGGAAAGCAGTGGAAGATGGACCAAGTGCTTGTGTCCCTGTATCCAGGTGGGAGACTTGGATGGAGCTCCTGGCTGTGGTCTAGCCCAGCCCTACCCATTGCAGCCAACTGGGGAGTGAACCAGCAAATGGAAGACCTTTCTGGTTTTTTCTCTCTCTGTCCATCTCTAACTTGCCTTTCAAATAAATTATTTATTTATTTATTTGAAAGGTAGAGTTACATAGAGGAGGAGAGACAGAGAGAGATCTTCCATCCATTGGTTCACTCTCCAGATGGCTGCAACTGGGCCAGGCTGAAACCAGGAGCCAGGAGATTCATCTGGGTCTCCCCCATGGGTGGCAGGGGCCAAGTACAATGCTGGCCGCAACCTCGGTCAATTTAGAGCAGTTCCCTTAGCTCAGAAGGAAGCGCTAACCCTACTGGCATGCTATTCCCACTCTGTTCTTCCCCGCAGCCCTGGGCCACCAGTAACCTGCCTTCTGTCTCTGGGCTTGCCTGCTTTGGACATTGCGTGCTCATGGAATCACGCTGAGACAGGGCTTTGAAATCAGATGAGGTGGAGGCCTGGAGAGACGGGAGCTGTGAGGCCCAGCCACAGGCATCAGGGCCCAAGCGTGCTTTCCTTGACCAGACCGACCTCTGACCAGCTGACATCGGTCACACAGTGACTCAAACAGACCCTTCTCTGAAGCACTGATAACCAGCCATGCCTGCTCTTGTCAGTTACTGCAGTCCACGTGATAACCAGCCACGCCTGCTCTTGTCAGTGATGATGGAAAGCACTGTTGGTCACAAAAATGGCATCTGAGGTCTTTATTTTTTATTTATTTATTTATTTATTTTTTCATTTTTTTTTAAACTTTTATTTAATGAATATAAATTTCCAAAGTACGACTTACGGATTACAATGGCTTCCCCCGATACCGTCCCTCTATTTATTTATTTTTTAAAGATTTATTTATTTATTTGCAAGTCAGAGTTACACAGAGAGAGGAGAGACAGAGAGAGAGAGATCGATCGATCTTCCATCTGCTGGTTCACTCCCCAATCGGCCACAATGGCCGGAGCTGCGCCAATCCGAAGCCAGGAGCCAGGAGCTTCCTCCAGGTCTCCCATGTGGTGCAGGGGCCCAAGGACTTGGGGCATCTTCCACTGCTTTCCCAAGCCATAGCAGAGAGCTGGATCAGAAGTGGAGCAGCCGGGACTCGAACTGGCGCCCACATGGGATGCGGGTGCTTCAGGCCAGGGCGTTAATCCACTGTGCCACAGCGCCAGCCCCTGAGGTCTTTAAAAACAGAAGAGCACATAGGGGCCAGTGCTTTGGAGTAGTGGGTGAAGCCACCGCCTGCAGTGCCAGCATCCCATATGGGCACCAGTTCAAGACCCTGCTGCTCCACTTCTGATCCAGCTCTCTGCTATGGCCTGGGAAAGCAGTGGAATATGGCCCAAGTCCTTGGGCCCCTGCACCCACGTGGGAGACCTGGAGGAAACTCCTGGCTCCTGGCTTTGGATCGGCTCAGCTCTGGCTGTTGTGGCTGATTGGGGAGTGAAGCAGCAGGTGGAACCCCTCTCTCTCTCTCTCCCTCTCTCTCTCTCTATCCCTCCCTCTCTCTCTCTCTCTCCCTGCCTCTGCTTCTCTGTGATTCTGCCTTTCAAATAAATAAAAAATAGAGCATGTGTTGGGGTAAAAACCAGTGTGGGAGCACTCACCCACCCCTCATGGAGGAGAATTCCTCTTTAAAAAAAAAATCCTTATTTTATTTATTTTCTTCTACTTGAAAGGCAGAGAGACAGAGAGACCTTCTGCCCACCTCCCAAATGCCAGCAATAGCTGGGCTGGGCCAGGCAAAAGCCAGGAGCCAGGCGCTCCATCCAGGTCCCCAGCACGAGTGGCAGGACCCAACCACTTGAGCCCTCCCCTGCTGCCTGCCAGGTTGTGTGTTAGCAGGACTCCGTCCAGGCACCTGACGGGGTCGCTGGCACCCCCTGCAGCAGCTTAACCCTGCACCACAACACCCACCCCGGGAGAATTTGTTTTCCACACACCTAGGCCTTGAGTGATTGTGGTGGGGGGGAGACAGAAAAAAATGACCTTGATTTTTTTCATTCATGGAGAAGGCAGCAAATTACTAGCAGGTGGAAAAGGAATAATCGTGAAAGGGGCTGAGAGGAGAGAAGGGAGGAGCCCTTGGTGCTGGTCTGAGACGAGTTCATACAAGTGAGAGGCGGGTGCTGTGCTGTGGCTGGGAAAGCCCCCTGCAGTGCCGGCATGCCATAAGGGCACCAGTTAGAGTCCCAGCTGCTCCACTTCCAATCGAGCTCCCTGCTATGGCCTGGGAAAGCGGTGGAAGATGACCCAAGTGCTTGGCCCCTGCACCCGTGTGGGAGGCCCAGAAGAAGCTTCTGGCTTCCGCCTTTGGCCTGGCGCAGTCCCAACCATTGCTGCCATTTAGGGAGTGAATCAGCAGGTGGAAGATCTCTCTCCAACTCTGCCTTTCAAATAAATAAATCTGTAAAAAAGAGTAAAAGTGAGGGAGATTCTGGGAGGGTGTTTGCCCGGCTGTCAAGTGACGAGCGAGAACATGAAGAAGTGAGATTTTAAGAAACACTGCTGTGTGTTGAGCAGTCTCCTTCGGGTTCTCAGAAACCGGGTGTCTAATTGTTTTCCATGTCTGCGTCACTCACCGAGAGCTGGCCCCGCCCTGGGGTCTCTGCTGCTTCACCTTGAGAACACGAGTTTCAGGGAGCAGCCCCAGCCTCCCCGTCTCCTGCTGGGTCCTCGTCCCTTTGTTGTCTTCTTTCCCTCGCCCCATCTTTGTGTTTCTGTCCCTCAGGCAGTATTTTTACTGATTGCAAGTGGTGGTTACGTTTCCCACATTGCATTTTTAAGTCAAAAGTGCATTTTTTATTCTTCTCCAGGTTAAGCAGGTATCTGTGTACTCTGCCCCACACTCTGAGGCGGAGGAGTTCCTGGGGTTCCGGGCGTCCCCCGCGTGGGCAGGCTCAAGGGTCACCTGGCTCCTCGCCGCCTCCTGCAGCTGGCCGGCAGCGTGCAGACGAGAAAGAGCCGTCCGAGGAGACGGGAGCCCTGCGGGTCCTTCTGCTGCTTCTGAGCCCATTGCCTGGCGGCTTACCAGAGAAACCCTGAACTGAGAGCCTGATCGGCTGAAGACAGTTTCAACAAAGGTAATGCTGCCTGTTTACACTTGAGCAGCCACCTCACAAGAGGAGAGTGACTGACTTAACCTGCTGGAGCTCGCGGGAAGCGAAGTCCCCGAGCCGACACGGTCAGGTGGGCAGGCTGTGGCCCTCGGGTCTGTCCGTGTTTCCTGGGTCGGTGTAGCTTTGACCGTGAGAATGCAGTGCTCTCCTCGGTCAGGTTAGGGTCCGCACAGCACGCCTGCCCGCCAGGCCTCCCCTAGCACTGTGAGGCCGGAACTAGGGGCCGGAGGAAGTGGGGCTTTGGGATGTGGTTCCAGGGCTGGCACCAGGGACGTCTCGCTTGGCTTGGCTGGTGGAGCCCGAGCCTTGGCGCCAGGTCCAGGACGCCGGCGGGGCGTCTTACGGTCTCTTCCTGCGTGCTGTGTCCCCATCTGGGCGCGCTCGGCTCCGCTGCTGGACGCTCCCTGCAGCTGAGACGGCTCAGAGTCTGCGGCTTGTTGGAAGCAGCCGTAGAGCAAGAGGCAGAGGCGGCCTGAGTGCCTGCAGCCGCGCTCCCTGCCCTCAGAGCAGCCGCAGGCCCTGTGTCCTGGGCCCCTCCAGTGCTGACGGGAGTGAGGGACGGACCTCCCACATGACACCGCTGGTGGGAAACCAGGCACTGCGCTGCCTCCCTGGGATTAACTCAGAGTGCCCTTATCTTGAATACAGCTAGTTTAACCTTTGACTCAGAGTTGAAGAAGTGCACTCTGGCTTCCTTCGACATCGGCAATGGCCTGAGCTTTGAACGGGTTCATTCTGCAGCTTTGCTTCCGGCCAAGTTCCAGTAGCACCGAGGTGAAATCCATTCATGAGCCTCAATGCTCAGAAAGCAGCAGGCTTGCTTTTTGGAGGAAGCAGATAAATACTTTACACAGTTTTAAATCAGGAACAAAGAACATGGAATTTTAATTCTTCTGACGGATGTTAACATTTTTTTTTACTTTCTCAGTAAAAGCTGGTTAGTTTCATTAGTCATTGCTGTGAAGGGGTTAAAATATGCTGCTCTGGCACATTAACTGTTTTGAGTTAAACACACTTCAACAACGGGTACAAAAAATCACTCTACCTGTATTCTCTTTCTTTTTTTAAAAGATTTTATTTATTTATTTGAGAGGTAGAGTTAAAGACAGAGAAAGATCTTCCATCTGCTGGTTCCCCAAACAGCTGCAACAGCCGGAGCTGAGCTTCTTCCAGGTCTCCCACGTGGGTGCAGGGGCCCAAGCACTTGGGCCATCTTCTACTGCTTTCCCAGGCCACAGCAGAGAGCAGGATCAGAAGAGCAGCTGAGACTCGAACCGCTGCCCAAATGGGATGCTGGCACTGCAGGAGGAGGCCTAGCCCTCTAGACCACAGTGCCGCCCCTCTATTCTATTTCTTAAAAACAGGGTGAGCCTGGCATTGTGGTGCGGTGAGTTCGGCCTCTGCCTGTGATGTCAGCGTCCCATTCGAGCACTGGTTCAGATCCCGGCTGCTCAGTCTCCAATCCGGCTCCCTGCTGATGCACCTGGGAAGGCAGCAGTGATGGCTTAAGTACTGACGTGGGTGGAGCTCCCTGCTCCTGGCCTTCAGCCTGGCCCAGTCCTGACCATTGTGGCCATTTGGGGAGTGAACCAGTGATGGAAGACACCTTTCTCTCCCCTCCCTCTTTGTCCTCTCCCCTAACTCCTCTCACCCTCTCTTTCCCTTTCCTTCTGAAACTCCACCTTTCAAATAAGTAAAATAAATCTTAAAAAGAAATCAGAAGCTAGAGGCCCATGTAGAACACGTTGTCCCCTGGGAGAGCTGCACAGACACACCTGTTGAGTGGTCCCTTCCCCCCGCCCCCCAGTTAACTGTCCAGCCGCAGCCCTGGGCTCGCATTCCACAGCTCACAGCTCGTCCAGTTCAGTGGTGGTGATGGACTCCACTTCCATGTGTGTAAAGCGTCTAGTAAATAACCTCCTTTGCTTTCCCCGTTAATCTCTTTCAAAAATTAATCAGTTGAGGCCGGCGCTGCAGCTCAGTAGGCTAATCCTCTGCCTGCGGTGCCGGCACACCGGGTTCTAGTCCCGGTTGGGGCGCTGGATTCTGTCCCGGTTGCCCCTCTTCCAGACCAGCTCTCTGCTGTGGCCCGGGAGTGCAGTGGAGGATGGCCCAAGTGCTTGGGCCCTGCACCCCATGGGAGACCAGGAGAAGCACCTGGCTCCTGGCTTCCGATCAGCACAGTGCGCCACTGGAGGGTGAACCAATGGCAAAAGGAAGACCTTTCTCTCTGTCTCTCTCTCTCACTGTCCACTCTGCCTGTCGAAAGAAAGAAAGAAAGAAAGAAAGAAAGAAAGAAAGAAAGAAAGAAAGAAAGAAAGGAGGGAGGGAGGGAGGGAGGGAGGGAGGGAGGGAGGGAGGGAGGGAGGGAAGGAAAGAAGGAAGGAAGGAAAGAAGGAAGGAAAGAAGGAAGGAAAGAAGGAAGGAAAAGAAAAAAATCAGTTGAGAGGCCGGGACTGTGGCACAGCAGGTTAAAGGCCCGGCTTCCCATATGGGTGCTGGTTTGAGTCGCGGCTGCTCCACTTCTAATCCAGCTCCCTGCTAATGTGCCTGAGAAAGCAGCAGAAGATGGCCCAAGTCCTTGAGCCCCAGCACCCACGTGGGGGACCTGGAAGAAGCTCTTGGCTGCTGGCTTTGGCCTGGCCCCGCCCAGGTCATTGTGGCTGCTTGGGGAGTAACTAGCAGATGGAAGACCTCTTTCTGTGTGTGTGTGTCTCTACCTCTCTATCTGTAACTCTACCTTTCAAATAAATAAAATAAATCTTTAAAAAATTAATTAGTTGGGGCTGGCATTGTGGCATAGCAGGTAAAGCTGCCACCTGCGGCACCAGTATCCTATACAGGTGCTGGTTCAAGTCCCAGCTACTCCACTTCTGATCCAGCTCTCTGCTAATGGCCTGGGAAAGCAGCAGAAGGTGGGCCAAGTGCTTGGGCCTCTGTACCCGCATGGGAGACCCGGAGGAAGCCCCTGGCCCCTGGCTTCTGTCTGGCCCAGTCCCAGCCATTACACCATTTGGGAGGTGAACCAGCGGATGGAAGATCTCTAACTCCTTTCCTCTCTCTCTCTAACTCTGCCTTTCAAGTAAGATAAAATCTTTTAAAAACATAAGAATAAAAAGTTAATTTGAAAGGCAAAGAAACACAGAAAGGAAGAAGTGGAGATCTTTTTTCACTGGTTCACTTCCCAAATGTCCACAAGTGGGCTAAAGCCAGGAGCCCAGGACCCCATCAGGTTTCCCATGCAGCCATTTGGAGAGTAACCAGAGTTCAGATCTCCCTCTGTGACTCTGTCTGGCAAATAAATAAATACATAAATGTTTCTAAAAAGTTGTGACTGGAAGCAACCATTCACTATGTCCCTGTTTTCCTTTGTGTGTGTATTTTGGGGGGGTCCCTACTCTGGGAATGGCTTACTTCCTGGGTGGTCTGGCTCCCTCTCGTGGGCCTGTGGTACAGTGTTGGCCATGCAGTTGTTGGCTGCCTCATAGGTCTGCTGCTGCGCTCGTCACGTGGGTGCAGCAGAGGCTTCCCCCAGGCAGACGCAGAGGGAAGGAGTGGGGAGAGGTCTGTGCAGAAAGGGGGCGGGGGGTGCAGGGGGTGCGGAAGAAGACAAGCGTGGGCCTGGAGTGCCAACAGCAGCCGCGTCCTTGCCTGGCACCGGCCACCTGGGTCGGTGCACCCAGCCACTCAGGGTGGGCGTGTGGATAAGGCAGCCAGGAAGGGGCCCAGGGCAGACCTGCTGCTTGTCCGGCTTCATGGGAATCTGCCCTGGTCACGTGGCTCCACAGCGAGTGGTGAGTGGCAGAGGCCCGCTTGGGCTGTCCTCCGACTGCAGATGCGGCCTGTGTCTTCCCGCAGGTCATGGCAGACCAGGAGCTGCCCTGTGTGCTGGTGTCTGGATTCGAAGGACCATGTGGTGTGTTCAAGGATCACGTCGGAGACCTGCAGAAGCACTTCCGTCTCATTACCATGAAAGAATTTCTGAAAAATAAAACACAACTCAGCCAACAGATCCAGGCAGTGTACATCTGGGGTGGAGAGCCCGTGATCGACCGCCAGCTGCTGCAGAGCCTGCCCTCCCTGAAGATCATCGCCAGTGCAGGCGTGGGCGTGGACCACCTGGACCTGCCGCTCATCGCCAGCTTCGGGGTGAAGGTGGCCAACACACCCCAAGCCGTGTCCAGCCCCACAGCAGATCTGGGCATGACCCTGCTGCTGGCTGCAGCGCGTAGGCTCCTAGAAGGTACATGCCCACTGAAGGCCTGGGGATTCAAAGAATCAGTGATAAATGTGCCGGTATTCACGAGCAAATAACTGAACACGCAGTCTTGCAACTGCATGTCTTTCTCTGCTCCTGTTTTTTTTTAATATTTAGGTATTTGAAAGAGTTCCAGAGGGGCAGAGAGAGAGAGAGAGAGAGAGAGAGAGGTCTTCCTTTTGCTGGGTCGCTTCCCAAATGGCCGCAATAGCTGGAGCTGAGCTGATCTGAAGCCAGGAGCTTCTTCTGAGTCTCCCATGTGGGCGCAGGGGCCTAAGCACTTGGCCATCTACTGCTTTCCCAGGCTGTAGCAGGGATCGGAAGTGGAGCAGCTGGGACTCGAACCTGCGCCCTTATGGGATGCCAGCACTGCAGGCTGCGGCCCCTGCTCCTGATTTTCTCATACCTCACCCAGGACTTCCTCTCACTTAAGAATTGGGACCACGTGTGGTCACTTGCAGCCTCCAGTGGCACCCAAGCCTGACCACCGGGAGTAAATGCTCTGTGGTTAGGGGTCTCCCATGGTGGTTCCTCCCGCGCCAGATTTCACACACCCTTGCAACAGGTGGTGAACTGTGTATGAAGTGGCTTCAGAACCAACTTGGAAACACTCTTGGGTGACTGGCAGGTCAGCCTGTGCCCTGGGGCTCCTGGGGCTGTGGCCCACGGGAGAGGGGGTAGGTCTGGGGTACCCCGGGAGCTCCCTGGCCAGGTCGCGTTGCTGCGCCGGTGGGGTCCTGGGTGAAGGGCTTGAGAACCTGCAAGGGCAGGTTCTGTCCGCAGCCCACTGCTGCCCACACCCCAGAGCAGGAAGCTGCAACCAGAGATGGGAACGGAGCTGCTGTCTGAGGAAGCACGCGCCCCGGGTCACTTCTTCGGAAACACAGGCGGAGTGCCCGTGTGCCGGGCTGCTGCCAACACTCACTCTGCTCTTTGTGTGTTTAGGTTGCCAGCTGGTTCTCTCGCCAGAGACAGAGAGCTTCTCCATCAACTGGATGGGTCAGGGGGTGACAGGGGCCACTCTGGGGATCGTCGGCATGGGCAGCATTGGCTATAAGGTCGCGCAGAGGGCCAAAGCATTTGAAATGAAGATTCTGTACCACAATCGGAACCGCAGGTAAAATTCAGAGAAATGGATTTTTGGAATTAACTGAGCCAAATGTGGCCCCAGTGCCGTCAGTGCGGCTGGGTGCACATCCCCCCAGCTGCTTTGGGAAAAGATTTAGGGGCCGGTGCTGTGGTATAGCAGGTAAAGCCACTGCCTGCAGTGCCCGTACCCCTTATGGACGCTATTGTTCTAGCCCTGGCTGCTCCACTTCCAATCCAGCTCCCTACTATGGCCTGGGGAAGCAGTGGAAGATGGCCCAAGCCCTTGGGCCCCTGCACCCACGTGGGAGACCCGGAAGAAGCTCCTGGCCCCTGGTTTCAGATCGGCACAGCTCTGGCCTTTGCGGCCAATTGAGGAGTGAACCAGTGGATGGAAGACCTCTCTCTCTCTCTCTCTCTCTCTGTCTCTCTGTCTCTCCTTCTCTGTAACTTTGACTTTCAAATAAATAAATAAAACTAAAAAAGATTTACTTAAAAGGCAGAGAGAGGGAGAGACAGAGACCTTCCATCTGCTGGTCCACTCCCCAGTACCCACAACAGCCAGGCCAAAGGCAGGAAGAGAGCTCCCTCTGGGTCTCCCATGCGTGTGGCTGGGATCAGACCACTGCCTCCCGGGTGTGCGTCGGGAGGAACGGAGTCAGCTGCGGAGCCGGACTCGCAGCCGGGCGTGGGCTTGGGCGTGGGTGCTAGGAACACCGGCTCCCTCCAGATTATGACCATGGAAGGTGCTGCCCACCCCACTGTGTAGTCTGCTTGCTTCGGTGACAGGGCCGGACGCTCAGACCGGTCAGCAGAGATCCTGTGGGCTCTCAGAGCGCCAGCTTCTCTTTCAGTCGTGTCTGGCGGTGTGGGTGGCGACTCCAAGGAGCGCCCTGAGCCGTTTGAGGGGGCCGCGCTGTGTTGCTGACGGCTCTGGAACCTTCACCGTGACTCCCCCTCCCCCACACCTGTCCTCAGCACCCCCAGTGCTCGTGTCCAGCTTGGACGTCCACACGTGCATCACAGTTCCACGTCCAAGCTGGGCACCGGGCTTGTGCCCTCCCAGCTGGACTGCTTTACTCCCAGAAAGTGCTCCCTTCCTGAGGACGGCTGCGGCCCCACCCTGCCCAGGGTCACCCCATCAGGTTCCCTTCCCTTCCTGGTGTTGCTTCTGTCCCTGCCGCCCACGCCCTGACCCCTGAACCACACACAGACCACAGGGCCCTGCACAAGCCGGTGCCTCTGCGGCTCCTGCTGTCTGTCTCACGTCATCTAAGTACCTCATCTCAGGAATTTTTAAATGCATAAGATAGATTTAATATATTGTCAGTTATATTGAAATGCAGTTTTCTAAATATCAAAAAGCCTGTCATGTAATATTTGTGCTGCTTTTTAACTGGTTAACGAGATCCCAGCAACAGGCTGGGCAGGGTGGGTAGTACGGATGACCTGGGGTGCTGTTGGGAGATGAACGCTGTCCACTACTGACACAGCCGAGGGAAACGCAGCTTCCTGGTAGGGTCGGTGGCCTGAGCTGCGCCTGTGGCCCCATCGGTTCCCAGTTTCCGGTTCCCTGCACTCGGGCAGAACAGCCGGCCCCACAGCAGACATGCTGTTTGCCGCCTGACTGCTTAGCTCCTTCCACCGGGAATGCCCTCAAACCTGTTCCCCTCCCTCGCTGGCGTTTCTCTGTGTGTCTGTCTCCTGGAAGGGTGCGTGCTCCCAGGGGTCAGAGGTCCTCTCCACACCTTTGCCACTGTCTCCAGCACTCAGCACAGGGCGGTCACCCTATCAACACTCCTTAAACACACTCACACACCGGACGGAGTTCTGGTCTTCCAAGAAGCGGGAGAACTGTTCTTGTTTTCTGTAACTGACATTTATGGAGGCGTGAGAAGCTGGAAGAGTCTGATTTTTAAATTAGAGATTTAAAATTAGGATTTTAATTTTTAAAAATTTGTTTTCATTCTTTAATTTGAAAGGCAGAAACACACACACACCACTGGGGGAAAGAAATCTTTCATCCATTGGTTTACTCCCCAGATGGCCACAAGAACAGAGCTGGGCCAACAGAAATCAGGAGCCAGGAACTCCATCCTGGTCTCCCACGTGGGTGGCAGGATCGCCTGCTTCCTCCCGGGGTGCACGTGACCAGGAGGCCGGGTCAGAAGGCGGCTGGCACAGATGTGCTGTGATAGGAACTGCAGGTGTCCCAGCGGCAGCTCAGCTGCCCCGGATAGAAAATTCTATCAGAATTTCCCCCTAACTTGGCAGTGACTGCACGATAGACAATGGCTACCAAGGATGCCGTGAACGCCTGGGGCTGAGGACTTCTGGAGTCATCAGAGCAGGACTCAAGGTTTGACTGAGAAGTCAGGGTCCTCCTGTGTCAGATGCTTGGACGCCTGCTGTCGCCCAGCGGCAGCAGTGCAGTGTTGTCTGGAGGCCTGGATGTGTTTGTGCGGCCTCTGGCCATACTGAAGCTTGGGGGGGGGTGAGGTCTCTGGTGGCTCAGAGGAAGTTCCTGCCTGGAGCCGCAGTCTAGTCGGCACCTGCAGAGGCGAAGGGTGAGCAGGTGGGCACAGGTGAGTCAGAGACTCCAGGGATTCCTGGTGGCCAGAAGGGGCTGTCTGGATGCAGGATCTCCCGGGCCCAGGTTTCTTTCCTGGGGAGCGCAGGACGAGAAGCGACAGCAGTCCTCTCTCTCCCGAGTCCTTATGTGAGCCGCTTGGCTGCCTCCAGGAACTCTGGCTGCAAGAGCCAGTGAGCGAGAAGCATGAAAGTCTGCTGATGGACACGGGATTTTCACAGGGTGGTTAAGTCTGGAGGGAAAAACCAGACATGACGCTTTTTTAGTTTTAAGACATAGAACAGTATGTTTCTGTGGGAATGACAGGACAGACGGATCCCTGGGTGACGGCAGTGAACTCCGGAGCCGTCACTGAGATACATGTGGGATGCAGAACCCAGTGGAAGACACGGGTGAGGCAGTTTTCTGGCAGTGGTGTGTGAAGGACCTGCCTCCCAGAACCTTCATGATCACTCGGGGCAGGAAAGGTGGGCCACGTGGCCTTCTTGCAGGCACAGTGCCTCCAGCGAGTCCACCCTGAAATGACCAGCATCCAGTTCGGCCCTCCCTCCCTCCTCCCTCTGGGGCCATGAGGCCAATTCCTGACATGGGAACGGGATTTCCCTTGTTTCCCTCCTAGGCCACGGGAGGAGGAGGAAGCTGTTGGGGCCACTTACTGTGAGAAAATGGAGGACCTGCTGCGACAGTCGGACTTCGTGATGCTGGCCCTGCGCCTGACCCCTGAGACCCGGGGCCTGCTCGGGAGGCGGGAGCTGGCCCTGATGAAGCCCACGGCTGTGCTTGTGAACATCAGCAGAGGTACGGCGGCCCCTTGGTCTGAAGGCCAGCTCGGCCAGAAAACAGTGCAGGAGAAACCTCAGGTCTGCTTTGGCTTGGCTAGGGAACGCTTCTTCCTGAATGCCTGCCGAGGTCTGCAAAGTCCACTTGAATTGGCGGCAGGCGAACTATGGGCATTCCACCTTCTGTTTAGAAATGTTACTGGCTTTTGTCTCTACATCATTTGAAACCCCAAATTAGAAAAAGCAAAGACTGATGACAATGGTACAGGATAGCAGCTTTCAGACCCGTTTGGGGTTAGGGCGGCATCAGTCTGATCCTCTGGGTTCAGTTACAGGGAGTTTGTGGGGATTAGTCTCCTGAGCCTCACTTGCAGCAGTGCTTGTTAACTTGGTATTTGACATTTACATGCCCTGGGTTGGATGTGGCTTTTAGACAGAAGACTCGGGGGCTGGGTGCTGAGAGCAGATCTCCACGCCTTGCGGGGAAAGCTGGTTGCCAGAAACCCCTGGGCTGTGGCTTTTAGACAGAAGACTCAGGGGCTGGGTGCTGAGGGCAGATCTCCACGCCTTGCGGGGAAAGCTGGTTGCCAGAAACCCCTGGGCACGCTGTGTGAATTCAGCTCTCGCCACAGAATGCTGCAGGCAGCGCTTGCCCCGCACCCTCACAGGGCCCAGCTCATAGATTCTACAGTTTTCTGGAAGTTAAGACCTTAGTTCCCACAGAGGCTGGATTGGCCTGGCTCTAGCAACAACCACCCCAGTAGAGCCCGGATGGGCTTCTCCCTGCAGCCGCACAGGGTCTCTGACTCGGCGTGGCCGCAGCACCTCCGCTGGCCTCTCCAGCATCAGCTGCCCAGCGTGCCCCTGCGTGTGCTTGAGCTCAGAGTTAGGCTCACGCTGCGTTTGTTCAGTTTGCAGATGTGGGCATCAGACTGTCAGGAAGCTCCATTTTCTGAGCTCAAAGCCTCTGACAGTTCTGGGAGGTAAAAGGAGCTGTGCCCAGCAAGCGTCACACAGGAGCCTGCCGCGTCACGGAGGGTCCAGTCGGGCCACGCACGTGCTGGGCTAGCGTTCTGCCCACCACGTGCTGGGCTCAGGCCTGGTTTTTAATGGTGCAGTTATAAATCGGACAGCGTGAAGTTCACATGTTCTCTGTTAAAACGGTTGATGCGTTTACACGTTTAGAACAAAACTGAGATGTGTCTAAAGCAGTAGCAGGTGTGACGAAGTCGTTCCTGCGTGTGGTCAGCTGTGGTGACCACAGCGGCCTTGTTGTGCATTCAGGTCTGCTGGTTGATCAGGACGCGCTGGTGGAGGCTCTTCAGACTGGGGTCATTCACGCCGCCGCGCTGGACGTCACACACCCGGAACCCCTGCCCAGGTAACAGATTCCATAGTCCTAGCATGAGAAGGCAGAGTCTGACAGCTGTGGGGCCTGGACAGCTCTGCGTCCAGACCTCTGTGGAAGAGAGCAGTGGGCCCAGGGTGGACGCTGCATGGTCTTTCTCTTACTGGAGCTAAAGTGGCTCCTCCCTTAACTCTGGCCCTGACTTGCCCTCCAGAGCTTCCGAGTTGGGTCATTCCTAGAACCTTGTGTGGTTTCATCCTCATCTTCTGTTTCGAGGCTGTATACCCCGCACTCTTCCACTGTAGCCTCCATGGTGAGGTGTCAACACACATTACCAGTAGAATCGGCTTCCTCCCCAAGGTTTGTTTTTAAGGTCCCAAGACTGAACCGAGTAATCATGTTGTGACCTGACCACTGGGGAAGGCACATGCCAGCACCAGCATGCACACTTGTCCTGGAAACCTGACCACACAACACATTTGGTTGGTGTTTTTTTAAAGATTGATTTATTTGAAAGTCAGAGTTGCAGAGAGAGAGAGGTCTTCCATCTGCTGGTTCACTCCTCAATTGGCCGCAGCGGCCAGAGCTGCACCTATCCGAAGCCAGGAGCTTCTTCCGGGTCTCCCATGTGGGTGCAGGGGCCCAAGGACTTGGGCCATCTTCCACGGCTTTCCCAGGCCACAGCAGAGAGCTGCATCGGAAGTGGAACAGCCTGTATGGGGTGGCGGCACTGCAGGCGGCAGCTTTACCCACTACAGCACAGTGCCAGCCCCCAGAGGCTCTCTTAAGTGTGGTCTGGAGACCTGTTCAGGGATCCATGAAGTCTGCTCTTATATTACATAGACGTCACTCAGCTTCCCACTTGTCTCTCGGAGCTGAAAGCCATGTGATGACGCCATCACCGGGACAGCTGACGGAGTGTGTGCTGCTGGATCACTGTATTTATTTTTTCACTTTTAGTTTCTCACATGATAGACACTGATAGATGTACGGGGCAGGCATTCGGCCCAGCTTGGGATGCCTGCATCGCAGACAGGAGTCCGGGCTGTACTTCTGATTCTGGGTTTCTGCTCATGTAGACCCTGGGAGGTCACAGATGTGGGCTCCAGTACTGGGGCCGCTGGAGCCCACAGAGACGCAGATTGCATTCTGGGCTCCTGGCCTCAGTCTGGCTTACCTCTGGTTTTAGTGGGCATTTGGGGAATGAACCAGTGGATGGAAGATCTGTTTCTACGTCTCTGCCTTCCAAATCGAGCTGGTCGTGAGTCTCAGCCCTCTTCCAGCTGGTGTGAGGTCTCTCTCCTGCCCACTTCCTGGTAGCTGGCCTTTCCTGGTGGAACTTCACCCCTCGTAAACATGAGTTCGGCTGGTCAGCCTGGACCAGTGCTGACCTCCCAGCAGCCGTCCTCCTCTCGCGGGCCAGCGTCTGGGTCTGCCGACACGGCTCTGGGGTCACTCCGCCTGGGGAGCTGGAGCCCAGGAGGGTTAGACCCCAGAGCAGGTCTGGCAGCGCCCTCAACCTGTGTTTCAGAGACCACCCTCTGCGGGGGCTGAAGAACGTCATTCTGACGCCTCACATGGGAAGTGCGACTCACCAAGCCCGGCGACAGATGATGGAAGACCTGGTTGAGAGCGTGCTGGCGGCTCTCAGCGGCCTCCCCATTCCCAACGAAGTGGTGGGGAGAGCGACTTAGGGAGGCCTGCCGTGGAGGCCAGTCAGCTCGGCGGGGTCGTCAGCTCGGCCGGCCGCACCCTGTGCTCAGGAGCCTCCTCCAGGTCCCGACCTGCCAACGGCCCAATTCCTATTAAAACCTCGGCTGGCTGGGGCATTTAGTAGTCTGTTGCCATCCTCTGGTCAAGTCTGGTCACTTGATTTCTCTCTTATTTTTTGTTTTTGAGAGGTGGAGTGAGGTCTTCATCCGCTGGGCCGCAATGGCCGGGGCTGTGCTGACCCGAGGCCAGGAGCCGGGAGCTTCCTCCGGGTCTCCCACGCGGGTGCAGGGGCGCAAGGGCCCGGGCCATCCTCCCCTGCTTTCCCAGGCCACAGAGAGCTGGACGGGACTCCGGCGCCCGAGCGACGGCGGGCCGCCCGCGGAGCTCAGCGCGCTGCGCAGCCGGCCCCGCCGACACCCCGCTCACCGTTCACGTCTCAGTGTCCAGCAAAGCGTTCCCGAGGGCCTTGTGCGGGGCTGCCTTGGAGGCCGCCTCGTGGGTCCCGGTTCTGCACAGACAGGGACTAGGACCCTGGCGGTGCAAACGCGGGGACACGAATCCCTGCGGGTTCGGGGTACACCGAGGGGCAGCTCGTCGGCCCCGCCTTCTCTCTTCCTTTGCGCGCGTCCTGTTTCCTGCCCTTTAACAAACCCGGTGCCATCGGTCCCAGCTCCCGCCCACACGGGTCCCGGGAGGCCGCCGGCGAAACCTACGGAGCCCCGGGGCCCACCCGGCGCCGCCTGCCCTGCCCTCGTGCGCTGATCAGCCGACGCACCGCCCACGACCACGCGAGCGCCGCCCACAGCCCCGCCCGTGACCACGTGAGCCCCGCCCCTCGCGCACGATCAGACGCCGCCGCGCCGTCGGCGCCCCGCCTCCGCACGTTGACTCGAGCCTCGCCCGCCTACACGCCGGCGTGTCCACACGAGCCACGCCCCTCACACACGACCAGTCGACGCCCTGCCCACACACCGCCCATAACCACGCGAGCCCCGCCCCTCACGCACGACCACGCGGCGCCCCGCCCGCACGACGTCCCGCCTCCGCACGTCGAGTCGAGCCCTGCCCCGCCCACACGCCGCCCTGTCGGCGCACGAAGGGAGACGCTGCTGTTGCTCCGCCCACACGGCGCCCCGTCGGCGCCCCGCCCACCACTCGGCGCCCCGCCCACACAGCGCCCTGTCGGCGCGCGACCGGAGACGCCGATGTCGCCCCGCCCACACGCCGCGCAGCGCACGACGGGAGGCGCCGCTGTCGCCCCGCCCACACCTCGCGCCTGCGCCGTCCGCCTCTCCGCACAGCTCCGGACATGTGGGCGCCCGCCGGCGGGCGGTGGGGACTCCGCTGCGGGCTTAGGGCGCTGCTCGGCCGTTGTGATGCGTTGCCGTTGCCCGGCTCGGCGCGAGGCGTGTGCGTCACCGCTGTCTCTTGCGGGAGCAAAAACTTGCTCAAGAAATTTGCCTCGAAAGCCAAGTAGGGCGGTGCTCTGGTGGGGGCGGTGTCAGGGAGTGGGGGGCGGTGTCATGGAGCGGGGGCCGTGGGGGGCGGTGTCAGGGAGCGGGGGACCGTGGGGGTGGTGTCAGGGAGTGGGGGGCCTGTGGAGGGCGGTGTCAGGGAGTGGGGGGCGGTGTCAGGGAGTGGGGGGCCTGTGGGGGGCGGTGTCAGGGAGTGGGGGGTGGTGTCAGGGAGCGGGGGGCCTGTGGGGGGCGGTGTCAGGGAGTGGGGGGCGGTGTCAGGGAGCGGGGGCCTGTGGGGGGCGGTGTCAGGGAGCGGGGGCCGTGGGGGGCGGTGTCAGGGAGCGGGGGGCCTGTGGGGGGCGGTGTCAGGGAGCGGGGGACCGTGGGGGTGGTGTCAGGGAGTGGGGGGCCTGTGGAGGGCGGTGTCAGGGAGTGGGGGGCGGTGTCAGGGAGCGGGGGGCCTGTGGGGGGCGGTGTCAGGGAGCGGGGGCCGTGGGGGGCGGTGTCAGGGAGCGGGGGGCCTGTGGGGGGCGGTGTCAGGGAGCGGGGCCGTGGGGGGCGGTGTCAGGGAGCGGGGGGCCTGTGGGGGGTGGTGTCAGGGAGCGGAGGGACCGTGGGGGGCGGTGTCAGGGAGCGGGGGGCCTGTGGGGGGCGGTGTCAGGGAGCGGGGGCCGTGGGGGGCGGTGTCAGGGAGCGGGGGGCCTGTGGGGGGTGGTGTCAGGGAGCGGAGGGACCGTGGGGGGCGGTGTCAGGGAGCGGGGGGCCTGTGGGGGGCGGTTCAGGGAGTGGGGGACCGTGGGGGGCGGTGTCGGAGAGTGGGGGGAACTAGCGGGGCGGTGTCAGGGACTGGGGGGCGGTGTCAGGGAGTGGGGGAAACCGACGGGGCCGTGTCAGGGAGTGGGGGACCGTGGGGGGCGATGTCAGGGAGTGGGGGTGGTGTCAGGGAGTGGGGGTAACTGATGGATCCGTGTCAGGGAGCGGGGGACCGTGGGGGGTGGTGTCGGAGAGTGGGGGGAACTGGCGGGGCCGTGTCAGGGACTGGGGGCCGTGGGGGGCGGTGTCAGGGACTGGGGGGCCGTGGGGCCGGGGCATCCCAGCGGCGGCTGTGGCGAGGCGGCTCCCGGGCTGGGGGTGCCCCGTCTCCCTGCTAACTGGGGTCCACCACTCTGTGCTCTGTCCTGTTCTCTGTGGGGCTGACACCGCCGTGTGTTTTAGGATTTCTCTTTCTGCCTATTGACAGGCAGGGGGAGAGGCCTCCCGTCCCACCCGGATGCCCGCCACAGCCCAGGACTGGGGCGAGCCCGGGGCATCCCTCGTGGCGTCTTGACCTCTGCACCACGCGCCATCCCCAGACAGTTCAGACTCTCCCGAACCTAACGGGTCACCGTGAATGTAAGCTTTTTAGGACGCAGCCGGTAAAGGCTCCGACTGTGGCTGGTTCGAGTCTCGGCCGCTCCACTTCCAATCCGGCTCCCTGCTCACGACCTGGGAAAGCAGTAGAAGATGGCGCAAGTGCTTGGGCCCCTGCACCTGCGTGGGAGACGCGGCTGGAGCTCCCGACTCCTGGCTTCAGCCTGGCCCAGCACTTTATGTACTGAAGACTTGTTTATTTGGAGGAGAGAGTGATAGAGCGAGTGGCTCACTCCCCAGATGGCCCCGTGGGCGCACCACCAAGGCCAGCAAAGCCCATCCTGGTCTCCCGCGTGGGTGATGGGGACAGTGGGCCAGTCTGCCATTCCCGGCCCATTAGGGAGCTGGAGTGGAAGCGCAGCGGGAAAGTCTCCTCCAACCAGAGCTCCAGCTGGGTGCCAGCACTGCCGGCGGCAGCTTAGTGCTCTGTGCCGCGACTTTGGCCCCTTCACAAACTGTTTAGAACAGGTTTACAGGTAGTTCCCCGTGCCGCACGGTCTCCTAGGGCCGCTCTGGTTGGAGTCAGGTGGGTGTGGATCCGTGCTTGCCGCGCGTCCTTAGCTCTTCCCTTCTGCTCTGTCGCTGGCCTGGTCATTTGTTTGGTTTCTCTCACAGCCAGACACGGGTTATGGATTCCCCGGGGAACCTGCCACCTACAGAATTGTCAGAGTGTAGACCTCGGCCAGCAGCCTGGCCTGTGCCTGTCCGGTTTCTGCACCGTGAGCTCTGTGGAGATGCCACCATGTGCAGCCCACACCGCCCGTGCACGCTGGGAACTCTGCGCCTTCTCTCCCCTTGCCTAGCGTACTCCTCTCAGCGTGGACACAGGCGTTAGAATCAGCGGCGCTGTCCCCTGCTCAGGCTGCCTCGGGAGTGCTTCCAGCCCGGGTGTCACTCTCAAACCATCACCGTGTTGCTGTGTGTCTTCTGTCACTCTCAGCTGTGTGTGTGAGCGCTCTCTGGACTCTGGAATTCTGTGGTGTGAGCACAGTCTAGGTTTTGCACTTGTGTGCACTCTGGGTTTTGCACATGTGAACACTGCGTGTGTGAAATCTATTTTGTGTGTTGAGTGCTCTGGGTTTTGTACAATTGAGCACACTGGGATTTGCACGCGTGAGCACTCTGCACGTGTGAACTCCGTTTTATGTGTTGACTGCCCTGGGTTTTGCGTGTGTGAGCTCACTCTTTCTTTCTAGCATTGCAAATTGCTCCAAGTCTGTGTTGTGTTTTTTTTCTGCCTCAGCTCTCATATCAGCTGTTTCTCCAAGGAGTCTTTTTTTCCCCCTAATTTTTAAAGATTTGTTTATTCTGTTGAAAGGCAGAGTCAGAGAGAGAGAGATTGATTGATTGATTGATTGATTCACTCCCTAAATGGCTACAACAGCTGGAGCTGGGCCCATCTGAATCCAGGAGCCAGGAACTAAGGGAAGGTCTCCCATGTGGGTGTAGGGGCCCAGGCACATTGGCAGGGAGTTGGATCAGAAGTGGAACAGCCAGGACTCAAACCAGTACCCTTATGGGATGCCAGTGCCGCAGGCAGCAGCTTTACCTGCTGTGGCACAGTGCCAGCCCCATCTCCAGGGAGTCTTGGTCCTTTTTTTTTTTTATACTTTTATTTAATGAATATAAATTTCCAAAGTACGACTTATGGATTACAATGGCTTCCCCCCCATACTGTCCCTCCCACCCACAACCCTCCCCTTTCCCACTCCCTCTCCCCTTCCATTCACATCAAGATTCATTTTCGATTATCTTAATATACAGAAGATCAGCTTAGTATACATTAAGTAAGGATTTCAACAGTTTGCTCCCACACAGAAACATAAAGTGAAAAATAATAGATGATTTTTTTTTTAATGATGATGAAATCAGATCAGACCTATTGTCATGTTTAATCCCAGTGAGAGTCAACTTGGGAATTGATAATTTCTTTTTTTTTTTTTTTTTTTACAGAAGATCAGTTTAGTATGCATTAAGTAAAGATTTCAACAGTTTGCACCCCCATAGAAACACAAAGTGAAATATACTGTTTGAGTACTCGTTATAGCATTAAATCTCAATGCACAGCACATTAAGGACAGAGATCCTACATGAGGAGTAAGTGCACAGTGACTCTTGTTGTTGACTTTACCAATTGACACTCCTGTCTATGGCATCAGTAATCTCCCTATGCTCCAGTCATGAGTTTCCAAGGCTATGGAAGCCCTCTGAGTTCTCCGACTCTTATCTTGTTTAGACAAGGTCATAGTCAAAGTGGAGGTTCTCTCCTCCCTTCAGAGAAAGGTACCTCCTTCTTTGAAGACCTGTTCTTTCCACTGGGATCTCACTCACAGAGATCTTTTTGCCAGAGTGTCTTGGCTTTCCATGCCTGAAATACTCTCATGGGCTTTTAAGCCAGATCCGAATGCCTTTAGGGCTGATTCTGAGGCCAGAGTGCTATTTAGGACATCTGCCATTCTATGAGTCTGCTGAGTATCTCACTTCCCATGTTGGATCACTCTCCCCTTTATTTATTCTATCGGTTAGTGTTAGCAGGTACTAGACTTGTTTATGTGCTCCCTTTGACTCTTAGTCCTTTCATTATGATCAATTGTGAACTGAAATTGATCACTTGGAATAGTGAGATGGCATTGGTACATGCCACCTTGATGGGATTGAATTGGAATCCCCTGGTATGTTTCTAACTCTACCATTTGGGGCAAGTCAGCTTGAGCATGTCCTTTTTTTGGGGGAAGTGCTGATGGAAGATGTGGTCTGTGTGCTTGTTGCCAGCAGCGTGTCTCTCGGCCCCCTCTGGCGTTGGTACTGAGTCTCGTGTCTGTTTGTTCCTGTTGGTAACGGTCTCCCTTGCTCACGGCCGCACGGCTCATCCTAGCCTCTCCTTCCTTACCTGTACCTCCAGCCCCACCCGGGCCTTGCTGCCACCGGGCCCGTTCCCTTAGCTTATGTGCGTCACAGAGGTGCAGTTGCTAACCTGCGCCTCCAGGAGAAAAGCTGGGTCAGTGAGTCTGGTGCTTGCGTTTGTGCATTTTCCAGTGTTATCACAAAATACCTGGGGCTGGGACTTCGTAAATAGAGTCACTGAGCTCACACGCCCGCAGTGCAAGGACATGAGGCTGGTGGACCACATGTGGACAGTGTCCTGGAGGCCTCCGTTCACGCAAGAGAGCACTGGGCTCCCAGGAGAGCGGCGTCAGCTTCTTCTGAGGGTGCAACCAAAGCCCAAAGCTCCTAGCATCACCACCCTCGAGCCGGCGCCCATGTGGGATGCCAGCACTGCAGACGGGGCTCCCCCTGCTGCAGCACCGTGCAGTCCCGGCATGTGATCCTGTTTTCTCCCCTTAGGAAGAAGTTTTGGTACGAAGGCCCCTCCTTGGGACACTTGGTAAGTGCAGAGCCGCCAGGAGGGGCCTGGGGTCTGGTCTTCTCACTGCGGTCCTGGTGGTAACAGGGACTTGAGCCTTTCCAAAAAAAAATGCTGACATGGAAGCTGTGCAGCCTGCCATCCGATCCAAGTCTCATATGCTTACGTCCGCCGAGTTCAGTGTGTGCGCGCTGTCAGCAGTCGAGGCTGAGGCTCCCTTATCTGAAATCTTGGGAACAGGAGAGCTTCGGGCTTTTGGTTTTTTAGATTTTAGAATGTGTATTGATAATGAAGTATTTTGGGCATGGAACTCAGTCTACACTAAGATTTGCTGTGTTTCACGTGCGCCTTATGTACGTAGCCTGTAACGATTTTTTAGAAAGATCTATTGAAAGCAGAGTTAGAGGTAGAGAGATCTTCCGTCTGTTGTTTTGCTCCCCAAATGGCCGCAATGACCAGGGCTGCTGGGCCAGCCTGAAGCTAGGAGCCTGGAAGTCCATCTGGGTCTCCCACGTGGGTGCAGGGGCCCACGCACTAGGACCATCTTCCACTGCTGTCCCTGGCCCGTTAGCAGGGAGCTGGATCGGACGTGGCACACTGGCCCTGGAAGCAGCGCTCGGGATGCTGGGATCGCAGGCGCCGCGTGATCCACAGTGCCGCGTGCCCTCCCCAGCCGGTGGTGGTTTCGTGGTGTTAGCATGCCTGCATGTGGACCGGGGCCTGTCACAGGGGGTTAGGTGCGGCGTATGTCACGTGTGGCATCACGCCAGTGCTCAGAGTTGGATTTGGGTTTTTGCATTAGGGATTATCAACCTGTACACTAAATGGCTCCTGTTGGAGAAACAGACCCATGTGTACACTCAAAGCCAGTGAACTGTATATTTGATAGGGTAAGTTTCACGATATGTGGAAGAGCTTTGTTGAAAGAATGTGTGCTTTTAACCTTGGAGAGGGGCCTCGTGATACCGGGAGGGGCCAGGCCCGTAAAGCAGCGGCGTCCTGCCAAGCGCCCCATGGCTGGGAGGAGCCTTCACAGCTGCTGTGTGCGGCCATGTGCGGCAGTAGTGTGTCGTGAGGCAGTAGTGTGTCGTGAGGTGGTAGTGGGTCGTGTGGCGGTAGTGTGTCGTGAGGCGGTAGTGGGTCATGAGGCGGTAGTGGGTCGTGAGGCGGTAGTGGGTCATGAGGCGGTAGTGGGTCATGAGGCAGTAGTGGGTCGTGAGGCGGTAGTGTGTCGTGAGGCGGTAGTGGGTCATGAGGCGGTAGTGGGTCGTGTGGCGGTAGTGTGTCGTGAGGCGGTAGTGGGTCATGAGGCGGTAGTGGGTCATGAGGCAGTAGTGGGTCGTGAGGTGGTAGTGTGTCGTGCAGCGGTAGTGGGTCGTGCGGCAGTAGTGTGTCGTGAGGCAGTACTGTGTCAGGCAGTAGTGTGTCGTGTGGCAGTAGTGTGTCGTGCGGCGGTAGTGTGTCGTGAGGCAGTAGTGTGTCAGGCAGTAGTGTGTCGTGAGGCAGTAGTGGGTCATGCGGCAGTAGTGTGTCGTGAGGCGGTAGTGTGTCGTGCGGCGGTAGTGTGTCAGGCAGTAGTGTGTCGTGCGGCAGTAGTGTGTCATGCGGCAGTAGGGTGTCAGGCAGTAGGGTGTCGTGCGGCGGTAGTGTGTCATGAGGTGGTAGTGTGTCATGCGGCAGTAGTGTGTCGTGCGGCGGTAGTGTGTCAGGCAGTAGTGTGTCATGCGGCAGTAGTGTGTCAGGCAGTAGTGTGTCGTGCGGCAGTAGTGTGTCAGGCAGTAGTGTGTCATGCGGCAGTAGTATGTCAGGCAGTAGTGTGTCGTGCGGCAGTAGTGTGTCAGGCAGTAGTGTGTCATGCGGCAGTAGCGTGTCAGACAGTAGTATGTCGTGCGGTGGTAGTGTGTCAGGCAGTAGTGTGTCGTGCGGCAGTAGTGTGTCATGCGGCAGTAGCGTGTCAGACAGTAGTATGTCGTGTGGCGGTAGTGTGTCAGAGAGTAGTGTGTCATGCGGCGGTAGCGTGTCAGGCAGTAGTGTGTCGTGCGGCAGTAGTGTGTCGTGCGGCGGTAGTGTGTCGTGCGGCAGTAGTGTGTCAGGCAGTAGTGTGTCATGCGGCAGTAGTGTGTCAGACAGTAGTATGTCGTGTGGCGGTAGTGTGTCAGACAGTAGTGTGTCGTGCGTCAGTAGTGTGTCAGAGAGTAGTGTGTCATGCGGCGGTAGCGTGTCAGACAGTAGTATGTCGTGCGGCGGTAGTGTGTCAGGCAGTAGTGTGTCATGCGGCAGTAGTGTGTCAGGCAGTAGTGGGTCGTGCGGCAGTAGTGGGTCGTGCACGTGGGCAGCCCTGGCCTTACGTGTGCTCCCTTCCATGGAGACCTCCAGGTCACCCAGGCTGGAGGCCCTGATGGCGAGAACCGCTAGGAAGGCCCGGAAGGAGGACCACGTGCGCCTGAGGGCCCTGGACGGCCTCCTCCACAAAGCACTGGCCGAGCTGCTGAGCACCCCTGAAGTGAGCCAGGAGATCTGCGACCTGTGCGTGGAGGTCTCCAAGGTAGCCTGGGCAGCAGAGGGTGGTGCGCTGGGACCGCAGGCCTAGGGCTCGCTTGTCACACAGTCGTCAGTGGCTGCTGAAGTCACACGAAGTCTGTCATCCAATTCTTTTTTTTTTTTTTTTGACAGGCAGAGTAGACAGTGAGAGAGAGAGACAGAGAGAAAGGTCTTCCTTTTCCGTTGGTTCACCCTCCAATGGCCGCCACGGCTGGCGCGCTGCGGTCGGCACACCGCGCTGATCTGATGGCAGGAACCAGGTGCTTCTCCTGGTCTCCCATATGGGTGCAGGGCCCAAGCACTTGGGCCATCCTCCACTGCACTCCCTGGCCACAGCAGAGGGCTGGCCTGGAAGAGGGGCAACCGGGACAGAATCCGGCGCCCCGACCAGGACTAGAACCCGGGGTGCCGGCGCTGCAAGGCGGAGGATTAGCCTAGTGAGCCACAGCGCTGGCCCCTGTCATCCAGTTTTAAAGACGGGCCCCGTGCGTGGTGCAGGGGGTCAAGCTGCCACCCGCAGCACTGGCATTGAGTCCTGGCTGCTCCACTCCCCATCCAGCTCCCTGCTGATGTCCTGGGAGAGCAACAGCAGATGGCCCAAGTGCTTGAGCCCCTGCCCCAACGTGGGAGACCTGGATGAAGCTCCTGGCTCCTGGCTTTGGCCTGGCCCAGCCCTAGCTGTTGCCTGTTGCGGCCATTTGTGGAATGAACCAGTGGATGGAAGATTGATCTCTCTCTCTCTCTAACTCTGCCTTTCAAATAAATAAATAAGTCTTTAAAAAATTCTGAAGACAGAGGGCACCTGTGTTGAGTGTGAAAGCAGCCGGTTTCTCTGCTGCTCGGACCAAGACGGGGCGGGTCCGAGGGTGTGCCGGAGGCGGGCATCTGTCCCTCCCTCATGTGAAGACAGTGGAGGCCGCTCCCTCCGGCTGCTCGGGGTTTGCCAGGAGGAAGTACGGCAGCTGGGCCCTTCTGTGAGCGTCCCAGGGCAGGTTGGGAAGGGTTGGTTGCTGTGGGCACCCCGCAGCCACTGACGGCGGCCCTGGCCGTGTGGCACCAGCTTTCCTGGGGGACAGGTGTCAGGAGCTAACACGTAAACCAAACAGTAACGGTGGCGCTGTGCGGGTGTCAGGTCTCTGTCTCCCCAGACCTCTCAGCCTGCCGTGTGTACTGGAAGACCACACTCTCTGCTGCCCAGAACCAGCGCATAGAGGCCGCCCTGCGGAGGAGCGCCGCACACATGAGGTGACGTGGCGCGTGCTCGCGGCGCTCCCACAGGCGGTGGCCTTGCGACTTCTCATCGCGTGAGAACGTTTGGCAGCGTTTCCTGAATGCTGTAGTTTGCGTTTCATACAGGCCATAACTTAGGTCTGTGCTTCTCCAAGTACGGCCCCAGGGATCCGGGGACGCTTGCGGGCGAGGGGTCGGTGAGGTAGATCTCCCAGGTGGTGCCTATCGTCCGTGCAGAAGCCCAGGGAGGGACTCGGCACTGGTGCCGCTCGACGTGGGTGCCGTCGCCGCGTTTCCTCACCAGTGCCCTAGAGGAAGGGGCGGAACTCCCCCGTCTCACCGAGACGGGAGCCTTGAGCACAGCTCCCTAGTGCCCTGTGCGATCTCGGCAGCCTGCCGAGACCCTGGCCGGGAGGCTGAGGAACAGACTAGACTGGCTGTTCGCTCCGGTGTTGGCAGGAACCCTGTCAGAAGGGAGGGCCTGAGCCGCCCCTTCAGGGCAGCGGTGGACCGGAACTGTGGTGATAAATGTCAGCTTTCGGTGAAAGTCAGGATTTTAGAAAACTCCAGTTCACCGCGGTGACCTTGACAGGTGGGGTCGGTGTGGGCGTTAGCAAATCTGATCACCTTTGTCAGTGTATTGCAAACTGCGTAGCTCACGGCGTTGTCCCGAAGGTTCGCGGCAAGGCACCGCTGGCTGCTCATGGCCTGTGCACACTGCGGCTGGCCGTGTGAGCCGCAGACAGAGCACACTTGTCTATGAAGCTGGATTTCTTCTGGTTTAGCCAAGACGAGGACAGAACGCAGAGTGATCGTGAGGTTCCTGCTGCTTCCACCAAGCAAGGCCCCAGGCCAGGTGCAGATGCAGGGTGCCATTCTCCTGGGCAGTGCTGTTAGATGTGCAGCTTTGTTTGTTAAAAATGTCTTAAGGCGTATCTGATTTGATCCAGTTCTCCATTTATGGCTTGGAAAGCAGAAGAAGATGGCCCAAGTGCTTGGGCGCCTGCACTCCAGAGGAGACCCGGAGGAAGCTCGTGCCTTCAGATCAGCCCAGCTCTGGCCGGTGCAGCCATTTGGGAAGTGAAGCAGTGATGGAAGACCTCTCTCTCCATCTCTCCCCTGTCTGTAACTCTACCTCCCAAATAAATAAAATCTTAGGAAAAACAACGGGGGATGCTGTAGAGGGAGTTAGAGAGCGTGTAACAGGCAGGTCTGGGGAGCCATCGGCTGGGCCCTGCATCTCCAACACTGAGGACAGAGCTGACGGCTGATTTGAAAGGCACAGTTACAGAGGGAGAGAGAGAGTGAACTCTTCCATCCGCTAGTTCGCTCCCCAAACGCCTGTGACAGCTAGGGCTGCGCCGAACTGAAGCCCGAGCTTCTTCCTGGTCTCCACGTGGGTGCAGAGGCCCTGCCACTTGGGCCGTCCTCCACTGCTTTCCCAGGCCGCAGCAGGGAGCTGGATTGGAGGTGGAGCAGCTGGGACATAAACCAGCAGCTACACAGGATGCTGGTGTCAGAAAGAGTAGCGTGACTGAGGACACACGACGCTGGCCCTGAGAGCAGTTTCAGATTTCTTTCTTTAAGTGGCTTCACAAAGACAGGGCTTTTGAGTTCCTGATGTTGACTTCTAGCATGGTAAACGCTGGAGTGGGGAGCACAGCAGCAGGGGCTCTTGGATCCGCAGCCATCAGCTCTGTCCTCAGTGTTGGAGATGCAGGGCCCAGCCGATGGCTCCCCAGACCTGCCTGTTACACGCTAACTCCCTCTACAGCATCCCCTGTTGTTTTTCCTAAGATCTTATTTATTTGGGAGGTAGAGTTACAGACAGGGGAGAGACGGAGAGAGAGGTCTTCCATCACTGCTTCACTTCCCAAATGGCTGCACCGGCCAGAGCTGGGCTGATCTGAAGGCACGAGCTTCCTCCGGGTCTCCTCTGGAGTGCAGGCGCCCAAGGACTTGGGCCATCTTCTTCTGCTTTCCAAGCCATAAATGGAGAACTGGATCAGAAGAGGAGTAGTCGGGACAAGAACTGGCGCCCATGTAGGGTGCCAGCGCCACAGGCCAAGGCTTAGCCTGCTAGGCCACAGCAATGGCCCAGGCTGGTAACACTTGAATGCTAATTCTCTGAGGGCACAGGCGGGGCCCTCAGCAGGTGCACTGGCGGTTTAGGCAGTTGGAGTTCTGATGCATTTTCATCCCGTTTGAGGTATGGCAGTTGCCCATAGAAGACTTTTTGGGGCGAGGGGTTTGATTAATTGTTTTCCCAGAAACCTTTTATTTAATGAATACAGACACTGTGCATTTCATAAGTACACTTCAGGAGCAGTGATTCTCCCCAGTGTACCCACCCTCATAGGAGACTTTCGTGGGCTGACATTTTCACTTTTTGAATAGGACAATAAGCAAATCTCATTTTTTGCCTGTAAGGTTTTGTGTAGTGCTCAGGTACCGCCATGACTCCCCCTGAAGCTTTGGGTGACATGTGCTGTGTCCCCTGACTGCTGTGGGTGACATGTACCGTGTCCCCCACTGCTGTGGGTGACATGTGCTGTGTCTCCTGACGCTGTGGGTGAAGTGTGCCGTGTCCCCTGACCTCTGTGGGTGACATGTGCCGTGTCCCCTGACCTCTGTGGGTGACGTGTGCCGTGTCCCCTGACGCTGTAGGTGACGTGTGCCGTGTCCCCTGATGCTGTGGGTGACGTGTACCGTGTCCCCTGACGTGTGGGTGACGTGTGCCGTGTCCCCTGACCTCTGTGGGTGACGTGTGCTGTGTCCCCTGACGTGTGGGTGACGTGTGCCGTGTCCCCTGACGCTGTGGGTGACGTGTGCCGTGTCCCCTGACCTCTGTGGGTGACGTGTGCCGTGTGCCCTGACGCTGTGGGTGACGTGTGCCGTGTCCTCTGACGCTGTGGGTGACGTGTGCCGTGTCCCCTGACGCTGTGGGTGACGTGTGCCGTGTCCCCTGACGCTGTGGGTGACGTGTGCCGTGTCCCCTGACGCTGTGGGTGACGTGTGCCGTGTGCCCTGACGCTGTGGGTGACGTGTGCCGTGTCCTCTGACGCTGTGGGTGACGTGTGCCGTGTGCCCTGACGCTGTGGGTGACGTGTGCCGTGACCCCTGACCTCTGTGGGTGACGTGTGCCGTGTCCCCTGATGCTGTGGGTGACGTGTGCCGTGTCCCCTGACGTGTGGGTGACGTGTGCCGTGTCCCCTGACCTCTGTGGGTGACGTGTGCCGTGTCCCCTGACAGCTGTGGGTGACATGTGCCGTGTCCCCTGACGCTGTGGGTGACGTGTGCCGTGTCCCCTGACCTCTGTGGGTGACATGTGCCGTGTCCCCTCACAGCTGTGGGTGACGTGTGCCGTGTCCCCTGACGCTGTGGGTGACGTGTGCTCTGTCCTTTGACCTCTGTGGGTGACGTGTACCGTGTCCCCTGACGTGTGGGTGACGTGTGCCGTGTCCCCTGACCTCTGTGGGTGACGTGTGCCGTGTCCCCTGATGCTGTGGGTGACGTGTGCCGTGTCCCCTGACCTCTGTGGGTGACGTGTGCCGTGTCCCCTGACGCTGTGGGTGACGTGTGCCGTGTCCCCTGACCTCTGTGGGTGACGTGTGCTGTGTCCCCTGACGCTGTGGGTGACGTGTGCCGTGTCCCCTGACCTCTGTGGGTGACGTGTGCCGTGTGCCCTGACGTGTGGGTGACGTGTGCCGTGTCCCCTGACGTGTGGGTGACGTGTGCCGTGCCCCCTGACCTCTGTGGGTGACGTGTGCCGTGTCCCCTGACGCTGTGGGTGACGTGTGCTCTGTCCTTTGACCTCTGTGGGTGACGTGTGCCGTGTGCCCTGACGTGTGGGTGACGTGTGCCGTGTCCCCTGACGTGTGGGTGACGTGTGCCGTGTCCCCTGACCTCTGTGGGTGACGTGTGCCGTGTCCCCTGACGTGTGGGTGACGTGTGCCGTGTCCCCTGACCTCTGTGGGTGACGTGTGCCGTGTCCCCTGACGCTGTGGGTGACGTGTGCCGTGTCCCCTGACGCTGTGGGTGACGTGTGCCGTGTCCCCTGACGCTGTGGGTGACGTGTGCCGTGTCCCCTGACGCTGTGGGTGACGTGTGCCGTGTCCTCTGACGCTGTGGGTGACGTGTGCCGTGTCCCCTGACGTGTGGGTGACGTGTGCCGTGTCCCCTGACGCTGTGGGTGACGTGTGCCGTGTCCTCTGACGCTGTGGGTGATGTGTGCCGTGTCCCCTGACGTGTGGGTGACGTGTGCCGTGTCCCCTGACGCTGTGGGTGACGTGTGCCGTGTCCCCTGACGTGTGGGTGACGTGTGCCGTGTCCCCTGACGTGTGGGTGACGTGTGCCGTGTCCCCTGACGTGTGGGTGATGTGTGCCGTGTCCCCTGACCTCTGTGGGTGACGTGTGCCGTGTCCCCTGACCTCTGTGGGTGACGTGTGCCGTGTCCCCTGACCTCTGTGGGTGACGTGTGCCGTGTCCCCTGACGCTGTGGGTGACGTGTGCCGTGTGCCCTGACGTGTGGGTGACGTGTGCCGTGTGCCCTGACGCTGTGGGTGACGTGTGCCGTGCCCCCTGACCTCTGTGGGTGACGTGTGCCGTGTCCCCTGACGCTGTGGGTGACGTGTGCTCTGTCCTTTGACCTCTGTGGGTGACGTGTGCCGTGTGCCCTGACGTGTGGGTGACGTGTGCCGTGTCCCCTGACGCTGTGGGTGACGTGTGCCGTGTCCCCTGACGTGTGGGTGACGTGTGCCGTGTCCCCTGACGTGTGGGTGACGTGTGCCGTGTCCCCTGACACTGTGGGTGACGTGTGCCGTGTCCCCTGACGTGTGGGTGACGTGTGCCGTGTCCTTTCAGGCACCTTCTGATGGCCCAGCAGACGCTGCGCAACGTGCCTCCAGTCGTGTTTGTTCAAGACAAAGAAAGCGCAGCCATGGCCCAGGTAAGACTTTCACATAGAGCTTTGGAGCAGGCTTTGGAGCCGTGTTCGGGTGCTGCTTGGGTACCCTTATGGAGGGTCTGCCCTGGGGTCCTGGCCCTGCCCCCAGTTCCGGCCTCTGGCTCACACACACCCTGGGAAGCAGCGGTGAGCCCAGCACTTGGGTCTTGCCGCCCACAGGGGAGGGCTGGGTGGAGTCCTGACGGAGATGTGGGTTAAACGCAGCCTGGGGAGCGAGGCCTGCACTCTGACAGGCCCTGGTCGGGCGCATGAGCGGAAGGGGTTTTGAGAGGCCCAGTGAAGAGGTTGTGGCTGGGACACGGGCTCGGGGGCTGGAGCCCCTGGGTGCGGGGTGGGAGGAGCCCCTGCTGCTTCAGCCCTGGTTCCTTTCAGATTGATCAGTTGCTGGCAGCCGCGGACTTTGGACCCCCAGCTGGAAGAGCCGCCTCAGGGCAGGACCGTCTCAGGTAGCCACAGGGACATGTGTGTCAGGTTCCTGCTGACTCCAGGCGTGCGGGTGCTGGTTCCATGGCACTTGCACAGCTCTGTGTCGCAGTCCCCTTTGCTCGCCTCTCTGCTCCCTGGCCCAGCCTGCATCCGCACAGCAGCCCCTGTTGTCTCCGGGCAGTGTTGACCTGCGAGGGCCCCTGGGACTGCTGTGGGCCTCCTGGGCTCCCAGCCGTGTTGTCACACTGTGTGGCTCTGTGAGGGCAAGACAGCAGCCCGTGTTCTGGTGGGGGAGGCTGCAGGCACAGCTGAGCAGATCGTGTCCAGGAAGGAGCATCAGGAGGTGGGGCTGGGGGCTTGTAGGGCACAGGGTGACCTCTGAGGAAACAACAAAGCTTGCTGGCGGGTGTGAGCCCGCAGGACATGGTGTTGGTGGGGGGGCCCGTTGTGGTCTTGGGCAGCCAGAGCAGCCACAGCATCCGCAGCCCAGGTGCTCAGCTGGAAGTGTGTGGTTTAAGCTCCTGCTGTACCAGAGCAGAGGACCAGCCAGCGGGTGAGAGGCAGGTGGGGGCCAGTCCTGGGGCTGGAGGCCTTCCCGGGCGGACTGTTGCAGGTGTGGGTGGCCCGTCCTACTTGTGACCTGCCAGGAGTCTGTCCAGCTGCCTGCTGTGCTGACCAGGCCTGAGGGAGACACATTGACCGGGGGGTGCCTGGCGGAGCAGTTGGGGTGCAGGTTGGGACGCACACGTCCCATAACGAGGTGCTGGGTGTAGGTCCCAACCTAGCTTCCTGCAGATGGGCTCGTGGGGTCCCTGCCAGCCCCGGAGGAGACCCAGGCCGGTTTCCAGCCCTGGCGTCTGCAGGTGTCTAGTAGTGAGCCTGTAGACAGGAGGTCTCTCTCTTTCTGTGTCTGACTCTGTGGCTCTTTGCTTTTCAAATACATTAAATAAGTAAGATTGTCTTTAGAAAAAGTGCACTTAGTGTTGGTGCAGCTGGCTGTGCCAGGGCTGTGCCGGCCGTGCCCTGACAATGGAGGAGACCGAGACCAGACTGCTCTCCTCACTGCCCTCTCTTGCTCCTGTCACAGACACCCAGGAGAGCTCTCGCTGGGTGCAGTAGGAAGGGGGGTTGCTGTGGTTGTGGGCGTGGCTTGTGCTCCTTGTGAAAGCTTTTCCTCTCCCCTCCCAGGAACCCCGACTCCCCATCCCTCTGTGACACCCCAGCACCTGCCGTGCATCCGAGTCTCTGTGGCATCGATCATGAGGCGCTCAACAAGCAAATAACTGAGTACAAACGGAGAAAGGAGAAAGGGCGGGGCACAAGCCAGCAGCTGAGCTGACGGCAGGGAGCAGGGAAAGAGGCCCGAGCCCCACGCCAGCCACCCCTCCCCAGCAGAGTGAAGACCACCTGGGTTCAAAGGTCAACCCAGGAGGTGAGGAGAGGCCCCGCCTGGGCGAAGCCTCCGCTCCCGGTGTCTGCAGAACTGCTCGTTCCCTGCTGCTTTTCTGCCACCTGAGTGGACTCCCACAGAAAAGTCGCTGTTGCTTTTTCTCGGTGTATAATTAAGGAAATAAAGGCCATCATGTCATGTAAAATAAAAATAGCGTTTAAGTCTAGCACAGCAGCTCCACCTGTAGGCGTGGCTGAGTCAGCTCCCAGGGGTTCCTGGTGACCCCGTGGCCCCCACCTTGGCTCTTGGAGGAGCAGCGGACTTTGTGGGCCCGAGCTGGCTGGCGTTCAGGCCTGGTCTTTGTTTCTGAGGGGCCGGTGACTGAGACAGAGACGTCCGAAGCCTCTGGGGCGGCAGCCTCTGGGCACCAGAAGGAAGCACACTTGCTGTGCCTGGGAAGATGGTTCTGGCTCCGCCCCCTGCCCTACTCCCAGCCTCTCTCAGTTCGCAGCTGGGTGGCATGGGTCAGTGTGACCTCTGTCAGTGCAGAGGCATCAGCGCTCGCCGTGTCCCTGTGAGAATTAAGGCAGCGGGGGAGCCTGTGGTAGGCCTGCGCTGAGCAGGTGCTCACGAGTGGGGCTGTCGTCAGTGTGGCAGGGGAGGAGGCGGGGCTTCAGATCCGGGAGGGCAACGAGGCCACCACAGTGATGACCAGCGGGACGCAGGTGGTTTTCCCTCGCTGGTCCCCAGACACGTCAGCAGCCCCGCACGTGGCTGGGTGGATGGCAAGCGGGGGACCCCCTTCCTCAGGTTGCGTTCGTGCACTCATGGCACATGCAGAGTGCACAGCACGCGTGTTCCGGCTGAGGTGGACTGGGCTCACACCATAAGCAGGTGGCCTTGCCACAGTGTGAGTGCTGTGGTTTTCACACTTTGGTGCCTTGTGTTGGTGACCTTGCTGCTTATAAAAGAATCCCTTAGCGTGGTGTCCCTGGTGTGCCGATGAGCTCTGTGGCCTGAGTCACAGCAGCGCTGACGGAAAGTGGTGTTGGGAGTTCCTGAGGCCGTCCTGGGGGACGTTGTGTGGGCTCTGCGGCTTGGGGCAGCTGTCTTTCCCGAGTGTCAGATACGCTGGGCGCTAGCACAGCTTAGGCCACCCAAGAAAGCGAACCGTTCCAGTGGAGCCAGGGCCCTGTAACGGGACGTCCGGACATCCGGGGGAGTGCGACACTGAGCATGGGGGAGGCTCTTAACCCCAGGTCTTGTGTTCAGAGCCGTGGGTAGCAACTACACCACATCTCAGAACTCAGGGTTCACGTCCGCTCCGATCCTGCAGGCCCGTGGGAATAAATCGGGGCTGCGAATCACTTAGCTGAGGCATGTTTGTGCCCTCTCAGGTGCCTGTGTTCAAACCTGAGAATTTCAGGATGGTGGGAGCCGAGGGAGGAGCCACGCCGATGCCAGTTGACCTCAGGCCCTTCGAGGCCGGCAGTGGTCCCAGGGTGTCCTCGAGCGGAAGACCCTGTCCAGAACACGGCACCGTGTCCTCCCGCCGCGCTCCCAAGCCTCTTGCCCGGGAGCAGCACTCCAGCTCCTTGAGCCCCTGGCCCTCCTGAGGACGCCTCCAGCTGTCCATGGACGTCTGGTGTTTCGTCAAGGCTGTGCCTAGCGCTTGCCTCGGGCAGGAAGGCGGAGCGGCAGGGCTGTGTTCTCTGGAGTCCTGGCTGTCAGTGCCTGGTGAGGGTCTCGTGATGAGCTGATCGCGTCGTCAGCCTTCCCCACGTAGAGCTGAGGTTTGCTCTGCAGTTGGCAAGTGTGTTCCTGTCCCGGCCCTTGGCCCGCCTCCTTTTACTCAGTTTACTCAGCACAAACTCACCCGATTTCCTTAACACTGTTCTGTTACTGTGTTCGTTTATCTCATTGCTAAAAATGTCTCCGGTTTGGCCATGTACTATGCATGTACTTTATTTTTTTCATGAAAATAGACTGATACTAGTTGTTAGAACTTGCCCAATAGAATCCTAAGAGAATGAGACGTCAGTTCCAGAAGAGCTATCCGAGAGGCTGGTGGTGTGGCCTAGTGGGTAAAGCTGCTGTGTGCAATGCTGGCATCCCTGATGGGTGCTGCTTTGAGGCCCGGCGGCCCCACTTCTGATCCAGCTCCCTACCAATGGCCTGGGAAAGGCAGCTGAAGATGGCCCAAGTGTCTGGGCCCCTGCCACCCACATGGGAGACCTGGATGGAGTTCCTGGCTCCCGGCTTCAGCCTGGCCTCTCTCTCTCTTCCTCCCTCCCTGTGTAATTCTGAGTTTCAGATACATCAATCTAAAAGGAAAACAAAAACCAGCCAAAGCTTTACCAGAAAAACATACAGGAAAGCTTGACCAGAGATTCCACTTATTTATTTATTTGAAAGAGTTACATAGAGGAGAGGCAGGGAGAGAGAGCTCTTCCATCCGCTGGTTCACTCCCCAGTTGACTGCAGCGGCCGGAGCTGCGCCGATCTGAAGCCAGGAGCCTCCTCCGGGTCTCCCACACGGGTGCAGGGCCCAAGGACTTGGGCCATCTTCTGCAGCTTTCCCAGGCCAGAGCAGAGCTGGATCAGCAGTGGAGCAGCTGGGACTCGGACCAGTGCCCATGTGGGATGCCGGCACTGCAGGCAGCAGCCTTGTCCACTACACCATAGCGCTGCCCCCAGTGATGCCCTTTGACCACAACAGCCCTGCTCCTTGCTCTCATCAAACAGGGGCAATATTAGAAATTTTCATGGGAAATAATTAGGCATTTAACTTACTGTCCTATTTGTCTTTTCTTTTTTGTTTCCTACTCTTAAAGAATCTCTAAAGGCATCATTTTTTTCTTTAATTAGTGGAAAAAAGGCTACAGTGACAAGGTCACGTTCCCAGGACGCTAAGTTCTTTCAGGATGAACTATGTGGTTGGTACCATACTTATAAGAGTGTCTTGAGCTTGGCAAAACTTATTTTGAAAAATAAAGTTTATAATTTTTATCTTTTAATACCATCCTCAACATACTTTTGGAAGTTCCTTCAAGTTAATGAAGGAACAGTTATTATATCCCTGGGGAGCTTTTCTGAGGCATACTATCCCTGAAGACTCCTGTGAGGAACACTATATCCTTGGGGAGCCCCTGTGAGAGCTGTAATACCCAAGAGAGCTCCTGGGAGCACTCTCGTCCCCCTGGACAGCTCCAGGGAGGGCACTCATCCCCCGGACAGCTCCTGGGAGGACACTCGTCCCCTCGCACAGTTCCTGGGAGGACACTCGTCCCTTCAGACAGTTCCTGGGAGCACTCTCGTCCCCCTGGGCAGCTCCAGGGAGGACACTCGTCCCCCCGTGCTGCTCCTGGGAGCACTCTTGTTCCCCTGGACAGCTCCTGAGAGAACACCTGTATCCCTGGACAGCTCCTGGGAGGACACTCGTCCCCTGGACAGCTCCTGGAGGGACACTCGTCTCCCTGGACAGCTCCTAGGAGAACACCTGTATCCCAGGACAGCTCCTGGGAGGACACTTGTCCCCTGGACAGTTCCTGGGAGGACACTCGTCCCCTGGGACAGTTCCTGGGAGGACACTCGTCCCCCTTGACGGCTCCTATGAGGACACTCGTCCCCCTGGATGGCTCCTGGAGGACACTCGTCCCCCTGGACAGTTCCTGGGAGGACACTCGTCCCCCTTGACGGCTCCTATGAGGACACTCGTCCCCCTGGATGGCTGCTGGGAGGACACTCGTCCCCCTTGACGGCTCCTATGAGGACACTCGTCCCCCTGGATGGCTCCTGGAGGACACTCGTCCCCTCGGACGGCTCCTGGGAGGACACTTGTACCCTAGACAGCTCCTGGGAGGACACTTGTACCCTAGACAGCTCCTGGGAGGACACTTGTCCCCTGGACAGCTCCTGGGAGGGCACTCGTCCTCCTGGATGGCTCCTGGAGGACACTCGTCCCCCCATATAACTCCAGGAAGGACACTCGTCCCCTGGGCAGCTCCTGGGAGGACAGTTGTACCCCAGACAACTCCTGGGAGGACACTTGTCCCCCAGACAGCTCCTGGAGGACAATCATCCCCCTGGACAGCTCCTGGGAGGACACTCGTCCCCCTGGACAGCTCCTATGAGGACACTCGTCCCCCTGGACGACTCCTGGGAGGACACTCGTCCCCTGGACAGCTGGGAAAACACTCGTCCCCCTGGACGACTCCTGGGAGGACACTCGTCCCCTGGACAGCTGGGAAAACACTCGTCCCCCTGGACGGCTCCTGGGAGGACACTTGTACCCTGGACAGCTCCTGGGAGGACACTCATATCCAGGAGAGCTCCTGTACACATCTTTTTCACAGTGGGAGGTTTCTGCAGGTGCCCAATTTGATGTCTCTCTTACCCTGGCCTGAGGGTGTTTCTGAGGCGGGCACTGTGGTCCAGTGGTTCACAGCTAGACCTGTTTTGTGCTTTCTCTTGGAGTACCAACAACTCTTTTTTTATGATTTATTTATTTACTTGAAAGAGTTACACACAGAGTAGGAGAGACAGAGAGGGAGGGAGGTCTTCCATCTACTGGTTTACTCCTCAGTTGGCTGCTACAGCTGGAGCTGTGCTGATCCAAAGCCAGGAGCCAGGAGCCTCCTCCAGGTCTCCCAGGCAGGTGCAGGGATCCAAGGACTTGGGCCATCTTCTACTTCTTCCCCAGGCCATAGCAGAGAGCTGGATCGGAAGTGGAGCAGCCAGGACTCAAACTGGCACCCTTATGGGATACTGGCACTGCAAGTGACAGCTTTACCTGCTATGCCACGGTGCCAGCCTTGACCAACAACTCTTAGGAAAGGACTCCTCAGGTTTGACCATGAGGTGGTAAAGACACTGCCCACACACATGAAGGCAAGAAAAGCTAATGTGTTATGTTGAGGGGAGGGAAGTAGACCCCCGTGGATCTCAGGAGTGGGAGTTGTACATGGCTGTGGACCAGTGGCCTCTTGGTGCAAGGCCTTACTGTCCTGGTCTAAGGGATGGAACCCTCTTCCTCCTCCAAGACGCAGTAGGACTGAAATGCTCCAGGAGAAGGTTCCCCCACGACCCCGCGTGGCCTCATCAGCCTGTTCTCACTGCTCGCTCTGCTTCCTCTCAGTAGTCGTCTTCACAGAGGTGAGTACTGTTGGGGCCAGCAGGTCTGAGTTCAATGCCCAGCGAGGTGTAGCAAAG